GGAGACCACCCCCCCCCCCACACACTTTTCCACTGAGTAAAGAAGGTTAAAATAATCCAACCACAATAGGCTTCATTACTCCACTGAGGGCGGTGGCACAAAATATCTTCACAACCTGTTGGCGTATTCTTCGATGTTTTCCTTGGCAATTCTTCTACAACTTTTTTCGACGCAGGAGGAGCCTTTAGGTGATCTGAATAACTTGATGAATTGCAATAAAAATAACGTTTTATCAAGAAGAGTATGCACAAATGACTCGCGGGCATTTATTGCAGGTTAGGGGTAATAATGTTTAGGTGCATCACATCACATGACTAGTTGTATATGATCCTATTATCCTGGCATACATGTACTTGAATAAATACGTGTAAAAATGTCACGTTGCAAATTTCGCCATATACCAGAATGACAATCGTATATGACAAATGTCACTAGATGTATTGTGTGAATGGGCCTTTAGGGTGTTGTTAAGAGATAACAAAACATCCACACACAAATAATATATTATTGTAATTTCAATCTCCCTATTTACCTGCCTATATCCCTATTTACCTGCCTATATCCATCTCAATTAGCCCTTCACCCCTCAGGAACATTCTGAAACAATAAACGATCAAAATAATTAACCCATTAAGTTGCATTGTGCCCTAAAGCCGATGGAATTATTGTATCAGTTTACCGTCACCTAAAAGTTCAAAAGTTGATGCAGATTTTTTTCATTATTATTTTTTTATGATTTGAATTTGTCAAATTTTGAGCTAAAAATTCGAATTTCATCTGAAAAAATCCAAGAAAATTTTGACGATTCTTGAGCTTTTTTCTAGTTTCCGAGTTATCAGGCTGTATCAGCTATGTCTTTGACTACTTGACTTGGCTAACTGTATACTGATACCTTAATTCCATCGGCCTAATGCACCGTACTTTATTATTTTACTATAACGCCAGACAATTTACTTATGAATGGAAGAGTGCAGCCACTCAATGGGTTTATCAAACTATCTGCCCGGATGTGTCTAGTCAACTCATTAAGTTGCATTGTGCCCAAAGTGCCCTACTTTATTATTTTACTCTGTCTAATGGCAGACGATTTTACTCGTCAAGGGGGAGAGTGCTGGCGCTCAATATATTAAACTGTATTTTGGAAACATTGTGTGTATATTATACAGTAACGTTATAAAGTGAGACTTGTCAGTTATAAAAAGCAGCTGTTGAAACACAATCAGATGAAACTGTTAAAATTTGTCGAAATACAACACCATTTCATTTCATACTTTTATAATTAAACTTTATGCTTTACCTGGCTAGCAAAAGTAAATCTATAGTCTCATTTTCCCCTTCATTCTCGCCAAAATCGTGCTCTTCGAAATAAGAAGTCATCGTCTGTGGGGTAGAGCTTTCTTTTTGCCTTGTTTTAATTGTTTATGTATTTTAAATGTTGAATAATGATTACATCATATAACATCATATAGTAAGGATGTCATTACAGCATTCCTATTGGTTGAAAATCCGTATTATGGGGTAATATTAATAAACATCAAGATTTTTTTGGCATATCACTCGATTATATAATCTCATAATAGTCGAAGGATATTGTAGACGGAAAGGGTATTGTAATTCGATAATTTCCACACGATAATACCCTTCGATATTAATAAACGCAACTATTTTTCAGTTCTGCTTGGTCATGCTGTAATTTTTCGTACGGGGGGGGGGGGCACTTATGCTTTAAATAATAAAAAAATTAGCATTACAAGCCATTATTTCCTAGCCTGCAAAACGCTTTTATTTCCTTGCCCTGATAACTGCAATGGTTATGTAACTGACAGAGCCAGTTGACCAACATGGGCTGCATGGTACTGCTCGCTTTAAAGAGGTACCTTTACTAGTTTATTTCTGGTGTACACCTGTAGTGTATGTATATAGTATATTAACTGCTATATACAAAATATAATATCAATTATAAAATCTAAGTAATATAATCTACAAGTATTAGAAAAAATATATTTACAGGTTTTTAATAATTAAGGTTTCTTTTAGGATGTTGTTTTAATCAAAAAATGTGAGTAGCAATTTTATTTCGAAAACATGATAGGGATCTGCACTCCCCAGGGCTGTAGACACCGGGGTTGGGAGGAGGGCTGCCCCCCCCCCCCTACTAATTTGTAAACTAGTGATATTCTGTCAAATTTGAGAGCGAAATGATGACATAATAATTGCCCCTGACTCATCAGCCCCCTCCCCCAATACAAAATTGCTTCCTACGGTAGTGCTCCCTAATTTTGTTTGGAATAGAGTTCCGTAGGTGACCACATCATACATGGAACTATTTCTCATGTTATTTGTTCAAGGTTGTGGCAAACAAAGAATGCTGGAAAAGCCCCAAAGTTTGTGATTTGTCACCTCGAAGTTTGTGGCTGGTGTCTCAGCATTCAACAGAGATGGGCAATACTTTTGGAACATCAACATGGACTTAAGTTGAAAGTCTCTTCTTCGGCAAACATCACATTCATAAGGTAGTGTGTTCTAAACTGTTCTTCCTCGAGGTTGAGTCCTCGCATCTCTTAATCGTCCAGTATTACATACTACACGAGGAAACTAGAGTTCCTGGAGGAAACCAGCTGTGTTTGGTCGAGTCGAAATTGAAGCACTCTCTCGCGCATGCTACTGAGGCAAAATTATAACCAGATGCATATTGGGTTGTTCCAGGAAAGATCAACACTCCCCCCATGGAGAAAATTTCTACCATCTGGAGGGGGAGAGAACAAAAAATTGTTTCTGGTATTTAAATAGTAAGTGCATTAGGACGTCCGAAGGGTAACTTACTGTGGGAAGTATGGATGTTTTCTGGAATGAATTAAAACATGGTCACAGACTTGAAAGACATATGCATAATATTGCCATTTACTGAAGATATTACTTTAGTTATTTTTGAAGTTAATTCAAGTTAAATATTAATCACATTAGCTACAGGCCCTACAAACGAACAGACAAACAGACAATATGCATGTATTCCGGAATGAACCAATCAGCTTGCTCTATTTGTCATGGATTACTGCAGTGCGCGCGCAACGGAAATAGGAATAGCATTCGCTTCACACAAGACGAAATCTCCCTTGAATTGATGATATGGCTACACAGATTTCAACTATAAACGGCGATAATAGCACACGATCGGCATCAAAAATGAGCGGCGTTGGCGATGAAGGGTAAGGAAGGCTTTGATCTTGTTTCCCAGCAAGTTTGAAACGGTTTTATCGAATATAACTAGTTTATTTTTAGTACTTTTACTTCGTCACAAATATATGACATGGCTCGCCAGTGTCTCTATTAAATGTTGAAAATTTTCCATGGATTCCTACAAAATCTGGCATGTTTACAGCCTAGATTAATACTTGATTTAAAGTTTAATACTCACAGCCTATAGATTAATCCCTAAATACTATTTTTAGTGAGTATTTTTTACAAAATTTTCGCTTTATTTTTGGCAGGAAGTTATTCGTTGGCGCGCTGAGCAGGGAAACGACAGTCGGTATGTAATTTTGAAAATAGATTTGAAACCGTTTCTGTTTTCCTTTATAAACTTGATGATTTAAACCTTTCGTTCTGGTGTTGCTTAACTAGCAAAGCTATCCCCGTTCTGGCTATATTTAGACACAAATAATAGTCAAGAAAATTCAAGTTTCACACTTGATTCACAAGTTCCATTGTGATTTTCTAGAGTCGCTACAGCAGTACTTTTCAATCTATGGAGAGGTCGTCGATTGTAACGTTAAAATAGATCAAATAACGAAACGTTCAAGGTATAAATTCAGTTCTATCGATTTTTGGTTTAATTTGTTGTTTATGATGAAATATTTTGACGTTTTCCACGAAAAAGCGGTTTGATGTTGACAGTTCTTAGAACACGTGATTGGCAAACACTTTCGATTTGCCCTTGAACTTTGCATTGAATTTTTAGAATTCTAATTTTTCAACTTCTTTTGCTAAATTCGCGTAAACTAACCAATCTGTAAACGCAGGAATGTTAAAATACAGCAAGATCAGTTTTGGCCAGCTAGATTTCAATATTTTGAGGGGTTTTACTTTGCTGTAATGCGATGTGTGAGGCTGACACAGCATGGAATGAACTTCCTGATATAGCTAATATGTTTATGGAATGTGTGATTGGAATGTTTATAAGACCCTCACTTTACCAAGTAACCAAGATAAATTTAAACCGTACATGGAAGCAAGTCGGCCGCTGTATTCGAGATGAATTCAATCTGTGTTTGCATAATACTGGACAAGCAGCTCTGTCTCCAAACAAGACACCTGACCTGGGCTGACCAGTATAAAGCTCTGATCAAACATAGGACAACCTTGTCCTTGCGTAGGCCAACCTTGGTTAGCTACTAAAACACCGCACATTTTTTGCGCACAGTGAAGTATCTGTGGTTAGTAATGCAGTGGCATTGAAAATGTCTATTTTTGAAGATACTGTATTTACTTTTTAATAAGCGCCGCTGCATTCTTTAAATTTTTAGTTTTGCAGATGTGGCACTCTTTACAAAAGATTTTAATTGTAAACAATAACAAGAAACATTAGCAACAAAAATATCACGTAAAGGGGGGAAAATGTGTTCCGGGTGTCGGTGCTTTGATTGTGAATAAGTTCGGCTTGTTCTTTAATAATTTTGCTCTTGTATGTGGCACAAGTAAATACAGTAATAATTGATTATTTTTATTCTAGAGGGTTTGGTTTTGTTCAGTTTAAAGAAGCAAGCTCTGCTCAAAGGGTAAAGTTTTACTGAATAAACTCTATGGTCAACTTGAAATTGGATTTCATTCCTACTTGATTTAGACTAGAATTTTTACATTCTGAATGTTTCTGTAGGTGTTAAAAGAGGGACCACATGTTATAGATGGCAAGAAGGTAGCTATTTATAAATCACCTAATGGGTCTGCAAATTAAGAATTTTTCCTGGCCTACAATTATTTTTAAAAATTGTAAGCCATGCTAGGTTTGACCGACATATTTCAATTTTGAAATTGTAGGCCACTCATTTTTTGCTGCACAAAACTGTTTTTTGGCATGAGTTGTCATTTGTGGGCTGTTAATTCACACCATGACATCAGAAACAATCCTCAACTCCACCTTAGAGGAAATGAAAAATTAATTGTAATATTGAGAGAGATTACAATTACCTGAAATGTTTCAATAAGCAGAAGGGCCCTTCAGTTTCCGATGAACGGCCTTTGCTCGAAACATCGAAGTTCTGCTTGTATCTCTCGGGTAGCTGTATTCCTTGCAAATCCACAGTTATTATTACACTGGCCGCAGCCAGTGTCACTGAATGCCCTTGCTTTTTTCAGGGGGGGGGGGGTTGTTGTCGCAAGTAAGATTGGGGTTAGGACCTATTCTACACAATGTTAATCAGAACGAATTTCGTATTTAACTATGTTACAAATCTTAGACGCTGTAATTATGCAACATATTTTATTATATTTCATTGCGCATGCGCTTGAACTTTCTGTGTTTTTCGATAAGATATCGCTGAACTCTATTGGTTTTGTATGGTTTTTATTGTGCTGTACTCTGAATGTTTGTGATCATGAAGTGACGGCCGTCAAGAAGTGAAGAACATCTACATATTTCAAATTATTTTTTAGAATATTGCGATGGTATTTCACCAACCGCGGGGCCATTGTGAACACCTGAGCAGGCGTCTTGTTATCTTTATGTACCCTCGCACAGATTGTTCAAATACTTAATCTCGCTGCATCTTTTGTATATTCTAGAACTTTTCCCCTCCCTTTCGGACAGTACAATTTTTCCTAAAGTATTCTGGAACATGATTGAGTCATGAATTAACTTGTTTCAATCAATGTTTATTCAGGTTGATCCAAAGAAAGCCGCACCCCAGGGAAAGGTAAGAAACTGCGTTGAAAGTCTGCAAGATTATGTGGTTTGGTTTATGTGTTTATATAGATTTTGAAGTTCACCATGTTTTGATTTGATATAGCCACACAATAGTACAAGGACAAAGAAAATTTTTGTTGGTGGACTCAAGCCTGACACACCTGATGAAATTGTCAGAAACTACTTCTCTCAGTATGGTGCAGTAAGTAACATTAAGCCTCGTACAGATGATCATTTTCCTTGACTAGTCTTTAAGTAAGTCTTTCGTTACCTAGACTTGACTTCACTTTATCCATGATATTGTTAGGTTGTCGATATTGACCTTGTGAAAGAAAAGGAAACCAATCGAAGACGAGGTTTTTGTTTTGTTGAGTTTGACAGTGAAGATGTTGTTGATCTTGTGATGCAGAAACAATATCATGATCTTGCTCAAGGAATCAAGGTGACTCATTCAATATTAAATACATCTAACTGAATAACATGCGTGTTGCCACCCAGTATTTGCCATTTTTGTGCGACTGTCTCGGCTATAAAATATTGGTCGGAGAACCGTCTGACAAAATGTTCAATGACTTTGAGTTTGGGTCAGACATATGTATTGTGATGTCCAATGACTTTGAGTTCAGTTTGGCTTGGAAATATGTATGAATGCAGACACAAATTAATATCAGCACAATTTGGAAAAATCAAAGATCTTGACAATGAATTTCTGAAACCCATGGTGAAAACTTCATCTGTTTGCTTTTAGGTTGAAGTGAAACCAGCACTAACGAAAGAACAACAAGCCGCAAAGAAAGCGCATGAGATGGGAGGTTTTCGAGGCCTTGGTCGTGGCATGGTTGGTGCATCGTTTGGTTACGGCGTTCCTGCGGCCAGCTATGGTCAATATCAGACACCAACCGTACTTTACCAGACGGCGGATCCTTCAGCTGCTGGCCCAGCGTACTCCATAGGCTATCCTCCAGGTTATTCCCAACCTGGTGCCGTTGCCGCCTCGCCCTATGCCGGTGTTCCAGGCTATGACGTACAGCCCGCACAAAGCTTTGCAACCGTGAGATACCCAGGTGAGTGCAATTTCTGAGAGGTTTTTTCAATCTTATACTAATAATATATACATATGCTAATTCTTTTGTACAGTGAGCCTATCATTTACATAGTATCTAATAATAGAAAGTATAAACCAAATTCAAAACACTGGAGAAAATATCATTTTCTAAAGCCAAATTTACACTATCAAAGTTTCTGTGATCACAGTAGGAATTTTGCCTAGGTAAATTCTAAATTTTGAAGGATTTGTAAGAAATGTTTGAAGAAACTGACTCTGTGTTTTAAAAACACTCAGTAAGTTCCCTCAAACATTTCTTACAAATCCTTCAAAACTTAGAATTTACCTATGCAAAATTCCTTATAATAATATATTTTAATTGTAATTTGTTTTTATATGTTCAATAAGTAATAAAGCTTAAATGCTTGTATAAAACTATATAGCTAACATTTTCACAACTTCTTTTGTGTTTGTCAATAAGGTATACTAAAGGTTTACTTTTATATCAGACAAAAATTCTAGCTAAAATATTCATATATTACTGTAATTTATTTTCTTTTTATAAGTTTATTTCTATAAGTAATAAGCTAACTATAAAACCATATAACTAACATTTTCACAGGTAATTTTGTCATGATATAAGGTATACTAAAAGTTTAATTTTATACCAGACAAGAACTCTAGCTAAAATGTTCACGTTAATTTATTTTCTTAAAAGGACGTCCTCTCTACCGAGCCGGCCATTCGTACGACCTATACCAGTATAAAAAATAATCGTAAATATTTATCTAAATATTTATATGCTGTTGTCGTTACGGACAAAAAAGTTTATATGGATTGATATTTTGTACATAATTTACACTTTACTCTATCGTAAAAAATAGAGAGCCTAAAAGGCAGTAATGTTTTATAAAAAATGACTTGTATATAACATATTTATATTCTGCTACCTAATTTCGTAGGAATGACTAAAAATAGCATATTCGTAATTGTGCTTCCTAATTTCGTAGAAATGGACAAACTGTAGCATATTTCTAATTTCCAGAAATTTTGTGAAATAATTTTAGTTTCGTTTTAAGAAACACTATGTACATATTATATATTTCTAACAATTTTCGATAGCAGTAATATTTACTTTAAATGGTCGTACGAGCGGTCAATGCGGCAGTACAATATGCTGGTCACGTGGTGCGTGGTTGCCTGGCAACAGGGGAGTGGCCACGTGTGTACTGGTGACGTCATGATACGAAGGTCCGGGGGAGGGACTGCGCCCTAGACCTTTTGGTTACGTACGTGGCGAGGTAAGACCATATATAAACGGAACGTAAACTTCTTTTTAAAAAACTAATACGTAAGCAACTAGAAGTATTTCCACGTCGAAATGGACCTATTCCCTAATGAACAAAATTTTGATCTGGACAAGTCTAGACAAAAATTTTATCACAGCTTGAAAGGGCATCACAAAATTATCAATATTTCGAAGTTTCGTTGCGAAATGTTGTAAAATGCGGATAATATAGCCCTGCGAAGTTTGCCGTTTTTCAGTCATTTTGTATTACAAATGGAAATTGATAATCAGATGATCAAACTGATTATCAATTTTCCGTGCGTAATACAAAATGACTGAAAAACGGTAAACTTCGCAGGGCGATATTATCCGCATTTTACAACATTTCGCAACGAAACTTCAAAATATTGTGAAGTGATGCTCTTTCATGCTGTGATAAATTTTTTGTCTAGACTTGTCTAGATCAAAATTTTGTTCATTAGGGAATAGGTCCATTCTAGTTCTGTTGTATTAGTTTGTGGTTATACCATGATTGCGACAAGAAGGTTTTCCTTCCACTGTAGACATAATAGACTTCATTATCTATGTTTTTGTCTTGATTTATGCAAGAAATGGTCAATTCATCGTCACGTGTGTATTGTTGTTTCGCCCAACCAACCAATACCAGTGTGTTGGTTTAATTACCCAGTCGTGATATTACACAATGGTTAAATGAGAACATAGCTATTGGTTGTGCTGGCCAGGTATAGTTCAGGTCTGACTGGTGATCATGGTATAACCTATAAAAGATCTAAAGACTAAAAATAATCTTATGGTCATAAAGTTATATGGCTGGTAATGGTATGCTGGCTGGTAATGGTTAAATATTTACTGTGCATGGTATGCCATGTTCTAGTATTGTTAGTTTCAGTTCAACATGGAAGCAATGTCGTTTATATCTGAGCATGAACAGTTACGGTTGAAAACCTTTTTCTTTTTGTCAACAGACCTGGAAAAAATGGGATCCCGAGGAACACTTGCCTTGAGGAACTTTCAATTTTTTTTGTTCTTGAGGAACTTTCAATTTTTTTAATTTTTTTTTTGTTGAGGAACTTTCAATTTTTTGTTGTTGCATACATAATGACGTAATGTCAAATTTTTTCATTGCTTTTACGCATTTTCGAGGGACATTTGAAAACGACAAATCCAGGAACCCATGAACATTAAACACTTTTCCGAGGTCTGCGCGTGACAAGATTTTTATCTGCGACTGTTCATGCTTAGACGCCAACGACGGTATGTGGAATCAGTATTAAGACAAGCACTTCTTTTTTTTTGCGTCCTAGAAGTAGCTGGACGTGGTTATGGTGTCGGGAATCCTGGCGCTAATGCAAGATACCATCCTTACGCACGGTAGAAGACACCCGGGGGTCATCATGGGATCATTCTGGTACTTTTTATGGGACACACGTGAACATCATGTGATCACATTCTGTGTGCATGCCTCTTTGCACCTGACAAACATGCACAATCAATGCAAACATTTTAATTATTTCATAACAATGGAACGTAGCGCGGGTCTTGAAAAGACCACACAAGAAAACTAGCGTCCATTAATTTATTGTTTTACTTGCTCTTGTTGTATTTTAATTTAAATTTCTTCTGCATTTTGCAGACAAACTTTCATCTATGTGACTCTTGTATGACAATTGAATTGTATCTTTCGTGCTCTTTGACCAAAAACCACTGCAGGTTTTCTATGTTCGCCTGAAAATATCGGTCAGAGAACCGTCTAACAAAATGTTCTTTGAGTTTGGGTCGGACATATGTATTGTGATGTTCGATGACATTGAGTTCAGTTTGGCTTGGAAATATGTGTGAATGCAGACACGAATTAATATCAGCACAATTTGAAAAAGTCCGTTTCCGAACCTCGCGGTGAAAAGCCCACACTTGTTTACACGTTTCCAGTTCACTTTTTATACATTACTCTGATTCTCCATTTAACATACAAGCCTCTAGTCCTGGACTAGGGTACATTTTGGCCGCTTTCCATTTAATGGCCACACCGGTTAGACCAGAATTTCTGTCTCGGTTTCGCGAAAATGGTTAAATGGGCCTCCTAATTTGATTCAAATTTTCCGGTCAAAAGGTCCGAAGTTCAAATGTTTTTGTTCCATTCAACAATTTGACCGACCTGGCCGAGTTAATGGAAAGCGCCCTTTGATTAAGGTTAGACAAAGTTACGGTTCGGTCGGACACCAATTCACTCGAGTCGGACAAACAATTCAGGTTCACTTGGGAGAACTGTATTTTACTAATTGTGACTCCTGTATAAATAAAGCTTCTATTCTATAAAGCCTGGTCGGAAAACCCGTGGTGTTTGGTAGAGTCAAACTGGAAGTACTCTTCTCTCGTGCAAATGCTCGCATGCAAATTACAATCGAACCCCAGTCAGATTAGTAGACTGTAACGAAAACCATTGTGGCACCAGCACGCCAAGAAAGCGTCGTTTCTTTCAGACGATTATGGGCAAACAACGTCAAAGCGATTAGTCAATATGCAAATCGAATTTAATATGACGTTAATTAAACACTATCATACATGGTTGCTCTTGGTGACCATGCTTTGTTGATAAAAAATTTGTTTGGTTTTGAAATAGTGATAGAATTTCATTTGTATGAGACTTTAGAATACTTTTCAATGATGAGAGATACTCCTGTGAGGTAAGCAGATTATATGTTGTAGTGAAGTACTATCAAGAGATATATACCGCCAAACTGTGTGGTATTTTCTGGTATTAAACACTTCCTGGGTTAGTAACATAGATATGGTTAGTAACTAGTTCATTATTTCGTAATATGGTCCGTCTGAAAAATGTCTCGAATGGGGTTATTATATTGTGTTAATAAAAGCCTCGACTTGTGTTTAAGCTTTCTAGAATATTTAGCACGTAATATTTGGGGGTTTAATTATAAATTTAAGAGGTTTTACGTGCGATATTGCAGTAACCATCGGATTGGGTTACCCCCTGCACCACTGTAGGTAATTTATACCCGAAAAACTCGACCGAGACGTCCTTTTTCAGGTTTAAAGTAATCCAGTATAAATGTAGCCTGTTTGTAGTCCGAGATTTCGTTCAAAAGGAAAAACTAGTATAAATGAAGTTTGTTTAGATTTTTGTTTTTGAAATTAGCCTACGGTGTATATTCAATCTCATGGACTAATCCAATTGCATCGGTGCATGAGATTTATCACGATTAAAATTTGCTTTATATTACACGCTACATTCGGTTTTATTGACAATGGACTGTTTAAATACTGACTTTGTTTTGTGTTTGTTAGATGTTTCCCAAAGCGAGCTATGGAGGAAGACAAGAGACCAAGATCATTTATGACGACGAGTGGAATGAAAACATTTCGAGTATTGCAGCCGACAGTGAATAACAACGCTTTAACAAAGGTACACTCAGACCTAGCCTGGGTTATGAACGGACAATTCTCTAATTCAGACAGACACCTCTCTAATATGGACACATCTCTAATACAGAGACCTTTCTAATATGAATATCCCTCTAATATGGACACATGTCTATAAATACAGACACCTCTCTAATATTGACACTTCTTTAATAAAGATACCACTCTAATATGAATACCTCTCTAATATGGACACCTCTTTAATCAGACAACGTTCTATTTTGGTGAATTTCTAATGTTGGGACATATTTTCAAACCACAACCTTTAAAAATTACCAGACGCCTCTAATACGCTCACGCGTTGCTGCACGACTTCAATGTGTACTTGCGCAATATAAATGATTACATTATTATTTGTTCCTTGTAGTACCAGCCACGATCAAGGTCACCACTGCAACCTCAAGGCCACAGCACACCTCTACCGCCTACTAAGGAAAATGACGCGAGGAGTGTGAAATTTCGACAGAGTTCCGCTTCGAAACGAAGCACATCGCCAAGATCTGTGGGAAGGTGATTATTTAACTGAGAATGGCAATTCTGTACTATGCCTTGTTTTGTACAATAATGCCGAGAAATAACCTAACCTGGAAAACGCCGTTAATCTCGGGGTTTACTTTAAATCGTGGTTCAACTCAGGTTTTACTAAGGTTGCACTAACCGAGGGTCAGCCAAATGGCCGCAGTAGAATTGCAACCGAACCCCAACTAAACCTTATAACTGCAGTGTTGCTGCTTGATACTGTGCTGTATTTTACTGGCTGCAGGGTATTGTATGCGTTCTGCAGCCGGGTTAGTGTTTCATTTGTTCTTTTCAATATTTTAGTTCCCCCAAACCTCCAACCCTTGGTTCGACTTGTTCTTCTCCTGTTCAATACTATAGATCAACATCAGGTTTGTATCAGTACCGACATTCTATTACCTGCCTCACCTACCTAAAAAAAGATGAACGGAACCTAGCTTCGCTTGAAGTTGAAACGTCCAACTGTTTTGTCTTTCTCAGGTAGTTCAGACACAAACCACGACAGCTTATTGTAGAATACTACCTACACTGGACCACCACGTTTAAGATATCTACTCTATTGGATAGCCTAAGTATAGCATCATTTTTCACTTATCTTTCCAGGTTCCTACCACACCCGGGCATTCACACCGCGCAATCTAAGTTGCACACCACCTCATTTATATATGGCAGACCATGTCCGTAAAGCCGCTGTGCAGCTACACCGTGCTCCATCAAACTCGTCCAGACAAACCGTTAGTTCAAACAAAACTGATACAACGCTAGACAGCTCCGAAATTCCGACACGCTTTGGAAAACCTATCAATTTACCAACTTTTGTGAAAACAAACCCACATCTCAAGAATAAAGAGCTTTCTATGGGACAAAAGCAATACTTGTGGGGCATTGCGCGCATATATTCAATGTCTCGTATGAAGTCACAGGTAAACAACAACAACAACAACAACAACAACAACAACAACAACAACAACAACAACAACAACAACAACAAATCTGATATTAAATTTTCTACAGGTGCAACAACAGTATCAAACGTTATTGAACTATGAGTTTAAAAAAAGAATGCAGCGGTTGGGAATTAGCGAGCGAGAGAAAATCAAAGAAATGAAAGATTATTTAAGATATAAGAAGTTTATCAAGAATTATGATCAGGTATTAAAAATGGATGAACTAAACTGATTTTTCGATACTTAAACGTATACTGAAAATCAGTCAATAATATCTCGTTGTTGTTTAGAGAATTCCGCGGAATTTGCGCTCGAAAGACTCCGCTGAAGAAAGGAGCAATGTCGCAGATCATATACACAGACACGTGATCAAAGGCTGGACAACTGACGTCACATCACGTGGTAGATACGCTGATGAAAGCACAGAGACCGAAGTTAGCGTGAAGGAAGTGGAGAGTGAAGGAGACTGGGAAGAAATCTCGGAACGTGGGGCGCATATTTACAAACACGTGATTAAGGGATGGACTATGGACCCGCATGCTAATGAGAGTTTTCAGAGAAAGTTTGATGGAACAGAATTGAGGGAGAAAAATGATAGAAAGTCGGAATCTAAGAGTGGAGAAAATGATGATGTCGCTATTTATAAGTGAGAAAACATTTTTGGGAACATAAAATCACGACTACAAAAAAGAAACTACAAACAGCAGGTATTAATGTCCGTTCTAACATGATATATTATAGAGTTGATTTCGCTCGTTCTGGTGGAAAAGGTAGCATTGAAGGAGATGTGATGAAAATCAGTAGACTTTATAAAGAATCAGGTCAAGATAAAACCCTGGAAGGCAGAGAACCTTTCGAAGGTGTGTATATAGACTTAAAATGTAATAAAGAATAAACCGTTCTATAGCAGACTAGGCCGCATTGTAGCTTTACAGGTCAACATAAATTGTTTTTAACTATCTTCTTTTATATAGTTATCGTGCAATCAGCGGAATCTAACTTCTTGTGAAATGGCTAAAATGTGCTCCAGCTATGAAGGTCGCACGTTTTTGGCTTTGTGTGGAAAAATAAAGAATAGCTTTAATTGTCTGTGGATGAAATAGTTTATATATTGCATTAGTTGCGTGCTATATTTAATTTATTTAATTTTAATGTATCACTTATTTAGTATTCTTATATTTATATCTAGTTGTCCTAAATTATTAATAATTATGTTATCGTTTGAAAAGTGTACAAATATTATAATTTTTCACTGTCTGGTCTTACTTCAGTATGAGGGTGACTCCCTTAACTATCCAATACTCGTTCAAATATGGAAATTCTCGCACGTGAGAATACACCCTTTCGGTAGTTATGTCACGAGTACTTCCCCGCTGGGCCAAGGAGGGATTTCTGACGTAATTTTGAGTTTTTGACAATGCTTTTCATCGGTAGATGCAAACGACGGTTTTCGCATAAATTGCGTTGATACGCCAGCGCTCATTGAGCCGCGCGGTAATCCGCCAAACAATTAAAAAATTGCACCATCAAGCGCAACAGCGTCCATCTTTGATTTTTTGTAAAAAACTTATTTTTAAAATTTTGAGTCATCTTTTTTGTCCATTTGTGAACGTTTTGTCCCTCTGCAAATCATTTGTACGTGTGTAAGTGTACTAGAAGCATCTTACTGACCAAATTATTTTGTAAATACATTTATTTTTGAGCGCTAAAGCCGTGTGTATATAGATTGACTATATTTAAAGTTGTATATATCAAAGAAAATTTATTTAAGTTATTATAAAATTATGGAGAGTCCTGTATTAACTTCTGTGAGTCCCGTGGAAGCAGCGAAGACGAGAAATCCTTGGGGTTGTTCAACAGTGAACGTACCTTCGCTTCTCTCAGTGATGGACGAGGAACTGGCGAGAGAAATGGATCAAAATGAAAGATTTTCAAGTTGGGATAATGAAAATGTTGAACCACAAGTTGAAGGTATGGAGTAGGTTAACTGTTCGTGCTACAGTAGCTGTGGTAGTGTATTAAGGGACTAGATTTACCCTGACTATTAAACTGGGTTAAGAAATACAAAACAATGGACACTCCGAAAACGGTTAACATTTTGATTCGACGTTTCGACTAGCTTGCAGTCATCATCATTCTGATGATGACTGCAAGCTAGTCGAAATGTCGAATCAAAATGTTAACCGTTTTCGGAGTGTTCATCTGATGATGACTGCAAGCTAGTCGAAACGTCGAATCAAAATGTTAACCGTTTTCGGAGTGTCCATTGTTTTTTTGGTTTTTTTTTAAATTACTCTTAAAAAAATAGACTTTGGTGTGGGCTTCAGCGTGAGAGTCAAGAGGGGAGGGGGGCGGGTTCACCAATTTGTCCTGGGGCCCGTGTTTGGTTCTCGCTGGCCTTGGACTATGATTCACATTAACCCAGATTTAACCAAGATTGGAGACATTTACACATCAAGAAAGACATGAACCTGAGTTGGTTTGTGGTCTAATGAAAACTTGTGTGTTGTTTAGTATCAGTTGAAGATGTGAATGACTCGGATACAGCGAATGACTTGATGCTCGCTCAGACGTTGCAACTTCAGTTTGATGCAGAGTACGAGAAGGATTTAAAAGCAAAAGAAAAGAAAATGAATGGTACCAGCAAAGGTATTAATAAAATACATTGAGTGATAGCATTCTCTCCACCAATATATCTGGTGTGTAATTTTGATACTTTCTATATTTTTATACTGTTAAATTTTTGTAACATTTCCTAATAACCCACTAATATTTTTTTCCATCAATTTAGTCTCAATCAGTTTTAACAACTATCGTACAATCCATCATGGGATCTTGGCAAGCGACTCAACATCATCTGACGATGACAATGATTATGATGACGATCAAGATGACAAGACAAAGCAATCAGGTAAGAATGACAATCCTCATTTTTTTGAAATTTAAAATTTCTGCTTTCAGAATCAGTGTGACCAGGTTTTTTCAGGGCAAATTACCACATCCGGTTTCAAAAATTAATATTTTTTATCTGAAATTACCACGGTGCTATATTTTCCCAATTTTGCCATATTTTTTCGAAAAATTCCCCAAAAATGTTGGGGGGGGGGGTGTGGCAAAAAACATTTTCCGGCCAAAAAATGTTCCGGACAACTTCCTCGTAAATTAGGGTCAAAAAAATTTTTCCAGAAAAATAATAAGTAAAACAACGCCGAAACCGGGGTTTTCCGCCCAAAACAAGGCCAAAATCTGTAAAATTTAGGGGTTTTTCACCAAAATCTGTACATTTAAGGTCAGGAAATTTCAAATTACCACAATCGGCCGAAATTGACGAAAAATTACCACGGTTGTTCTGAAATTACCGTAGTAATTACCACAAATTTCCAATTACCACAATTGTCCAAAAATGACAAAAAATTACCACGGTAGTAATGAAATTACCACGTCTGGTCACACTGGAATCAAAATCTCCACTGAACAGAATTTAAATTTCCTTGAAATTGCATTGGTAGTGCTTCCACTTGTCAAAATTGAAATTTCCTTGAATTAGTGTGTTTCCATATGTAAGAATTAAAATTTCCTTCAAATTGGCATTGATGGTGTTTCCGTGTATTAAAATTTAATTTTCTTTAAAATTCCCATGAAGGAAATTTGTAAAAATATTTTCTCTCAAATAATTCCTATACTTGAATAGTTTACTCACTTTCAATTTCAGGCAGTAAATCGAGTGGGGGAGGTCGTCGAAAACGTTACCAGGGTAGCGGGTCTGGCAAAAATATCACAACGAAACATGACGCTGACGTCTGTGGCCGAAAGAATGCAAAGAATATTGAAAAAGTGAGTATTCATTGTATTGTTGCAATGTCATTTTTCTAGGAAATTTTGCCAGAGTTTCTCATTGTGTACACTAACTAATTTATTTTCATGTTTAGTTCCCTCCCGGTTTTGCTGCGGGAGATGTCGGGAGCAAACAACTGGATCTGAAGATTTCCAACAGTGTGTACAACAGTTTGAAACAACATTCAATCAAAGAAGAAAAGCAAAGTTATCGTCTGCATGAGAAGAAAGAACATTCAACCCATGTGAGTGACACATCCTCTAGTTTTGTAAATGTTAAGAAAGCTTCGTATTGATAGGGATACAACTACCTTGAAAAACAAGGAGAGCTTTGACGTTTTGAGCAAAGACTTTTTGACAGGAAGTTAGCTGTTAATTAAACACTGATTCAGTTCCCTCGAACATTTCTTACAAATCCTTCAAAACGTAGAATTTACCCATGCAAAATTCCTACTGTGATCACAGAAACTTTGCTAGTGCAAACCATTCAACACCAACACAGAAAAAATCATATTACTAGATTACATTGGTATCGAAGGAACTAGATTCTGTTCCGAAATATCACTTACTCGAATCGACCTGACCGCGTAGTTCAGTTGGCAGAGCATTGGGCTAGTGTTGGTCATAGGTTCGATTCCCACCCTTGCCGGGCATATTTTTCAAGCTCGCCCGGTTTGGATTTACACTCAGAGTAACATCACAAACATCATATTCACCTGAGTACACAACACCACACTCTTTACTCTGTTTAACACCAGATGATTTTACTCGTCAACACAGAGCACTGGCTCTCAATTGGTTAAACTATAATAATTTTTGTGTGAACTTGACAGGAGCAAGCGTTGGATCCTAAAACAAGGCTGCTGTTGTACAAGTTGGTCAACTCGGAGATTTTGGAAGAAGTGAATGGTTGTATTAGTACTGGAAAAGAAGCTTGTGTTTTCCACGCTTTTGGAGGAAAGTAAGTTCATAACTCTCTTACTGGATTTCACAAAGCACTATCGTGCAGCAGATGGTGGGTCAATCTGCAGTTATCAGAGTGAGATAAAACTGTTAATTCTTTTATTATGTAGTAGTGGTTTTGTATACAGTAGTAAATAAATTGAAACAAACAATGTAGTTGACCAACATTGACATCTACTCTGAATCGAGTGGACAATTAATTGTATTGACCCTGCCAGTGTATAGACTGTTTCCTTGATAATATCATAATAAATTTCGTGCAGGATGGAAGATAAAGAAGTCCCTCATGAGTGTGCTGTGAAAGTCTTCAAGACAACTTTGAATGAATTCAAGACAAGAGATCGTTACATCAAAGATGATCATCGATTTAAAGATCGCTTGGGAAAACAAAATCCCAGGAAAACGATCAAACTATGGGCCGAGAAAGAAATGTGTAATCTTTCAAGGTTGGGATTTTGGAAAATAACTTTATTTATGCTGGATAGCTCTATCAGTTCTAGTAAGGTCCAGTAAGGATCATCTCTTATTGATTCAGGGTTACTACAGGAGGAAACCTAAACTAAACTGTTCTCTCTATTTATTTAGAATGACCCATGCTGGCATCCGATGTCCTGAAGTTGTGTTACTGAAGAAACAGGTTTTGGTCATGAGTTTTATCGGCTTTGAACGACGGCCTGCACCAAAACTGAAAGATGTTGTGCTAACATCTTCCCAAGGTAGCCATGCTTATAAACAGTGTGTAGAGGTATGTGGTCTCCATCTAATCTATTTGATTTCCACTGTGGCCAAGCTAACTTTTCAGCCTGCCCAGTGTGGATGCACACTCAGAGTAACATCACAAACATCATATTCACCTGAGTACATAACACCAACACACACAAAATAATCATATTATAGAATACACTGATATCGAAGGAACTGGACTCAGTTCTGAAATATCATCAACTCGATTGCAGGAATTGAACCTCAGTCACAGAGCCCAAACTTTCTATTTCAGATGATGTGTACAATGTACCAGAAATGCAACCTTATCCATGCGGATCTAAGTGAATACAACATGTTATGGCATGAGAACAACGTGTATTTTATTGATGTCAGCCAGTCCGTGGAACCCATGCATCCTCACGCTCTCGAGTTTCTCTACAGAGATTGTAAAAATGTGACGTCATTTTTTGAGAAGTTTGGAGTCGAAGTGATGTCAGCTGAGAACCTGTTTAATCAGGTTTCCGAACTGGATATACCGGTCGATCATGACGGAGATTTTAACTCAGAGGTAAAGGCGTACACACGTAAGAACTCACAAGTTGTTATAGATCTGCAAACAAGTTGTAAGGGACTGGTCATAAAGTAACTGCTAGGGTGGGCTGGAGGTAAATCACAAATTTTGCCAATAAGTTTGCCAAGTTTGGTGACCCATCTTAGGATGTAGATAAAGATTTCAAAGCCCATCTAATCTTACCAAATTTATTTCATGACCCACCCACCCAATCTAAATTGGGGAAATACACTTTTATAATAAAAAACTTGCAGGTATGAACATTCTAAATATACACCAGCACTGTATTGACATACATAATTCCACCAAGCTTGACCAACACATTCATCACCAATTACGATACTGAGCTACTCTCCAGTTGGTTGTGTTTGCTGTGATTCGACCACTTCTTGTTGTTGTATAAAACAAAGTACTGGCCTCAATAGCATCATTTGCATTTGATAATTTGGATAGTTTTGTTTATTTTTATTATTAATATCTTTATGTAATATATAATTAACATGGGTCTTTGTTTGGTGGCCCAACCGTGGACATACAAAAAAATTGGCGGCCCTTCGAAACTGCCAAAAGATTTTTCATGGCCCATCTCAAATCACTCCAGCCCACCCTAGCAGTTACTTTATGACTGGTCCCTAACAAGGTTGTTGTCAAGCCAATATCACAACTGGAAACAAGCAGTGCGAACACATCCTGGTAAATCTGGAACAAGTTGTTCACAGTAACAAACTTGCTACAAATTGTTCCAACAAGACTATCATCTTGGTCACAAGATGATGTTCCAGACTTGTCAACAACTGGGAACAAGCAGTGCGAACACATCTTGTTGATGATCAAGCCATTGATTGTATTTGTAAAATGTGATTAAGTTGATTGTATCTGTTCTCGTTAACATTGTTGAAATGATTATATTGATTGTATTGATTGTATCTGTTCTTGTTAACATTGTTGAAATGATTATATCGATTGTATTGATTGTATCTGTTCTCGTTAACATTGTTGAAATGATTATATTGTTAACCTTTAATTAAGGTGGTGAAATGTGAAAGATTTTTATCGGAGACGAAGAGCAACAAGAAACAACCAGAAAAGGAATATGCATTTGATTATCTGTTCGACGGAAACGAAGAATCTTAAATAAACGCTTGCGTAAAAGTATAAAGAAATTAATTTGGAATGACACACGGATATTTATATTGAAAAGGAAATGAATAAACGAACATTCACTTTATTGTTTGTGTCTAATTTTATCATAATACGTCGCACTTTTATTTTCAATGTTTTATGGTAGTTAGTCTCGAAATATCTGCACGATGTAGTGCTTGGTGAAACCATCGATACTAGACGACTCAAATATTCATTTACAGTAATGATAATTGACTTTTGTGGTAATTATTGGATCATTTCTATTGTATTAAGTTGATTACCACTATATAAGCCTATAAGGTCTAACAAAATTACGTTTTCAGCATGCATTCAGCGTCATGTGGCGACCCACATATACTTTTGTAATTAAAGATTCACTCTTTCATCCAAAACCAAGCATTTACAAAGACGTAAGGAAGGAAGTTTTTCTGCGGGAATAACGTCAAGAACAAATGCTTGGATTTTTCTAGAACAAATTTTAAGTCTGGTTGACACTATCAAAGTTTCTGTGACCACAGTAGGAATTTTGCATGGGTAAATTCTAAGTTTTGAAGGATTGTAAGAAATGTTTGAGGAAACTGTCTGAGTTACAAATCCTTCAAAACTTAGAATTTACCTTTGACTTTGCAAAATTCCTACTTTGATCACAGAAACTTTGATAATGTAACCAACATTTCATATCCTTTTATTGTTTTAAAGCTGTAGTATAGTGCATTTCAGTATTTGATGAACACAGTCAAACGATATTGATCCAATGATGGGCAGTGCAGATGGGATCAACTTGATAAAAACTGCATCTCCAACTCTATTCACTTGCCCCTAAATACAAGACTATTAGTATTACATTTGAAAAACATTGCTGTAACATCAGTTTCTTACTGTTATTTCTATTTCAGAATCATTCTCAGAGATACGAAAAACTAGTTTCATATTATTATAAAATAATAGAATAATATGAAACTAGTTTTTACTGTTATTTATATGGTGCATTTTTCTGCAAAATCTAAAACGAGCCCAAACGGCAAAAGTGACAGGAGGTCAAACTAACACCCACGAAAATGACAATTTTCACACGAACAAGAACAATTAAACCCAAAACAACTAGCTAATCTCCTACCAAGGAACAACTTTGCATATAATTTTTACTGTAAACATTCCAAAATAAGTCTAGAAAATTCGGCAATTAAACTTTAATCATCCTGAGATACCTCTGTGACTAAGGACAGTCCATTTCTATGCAAAAATGGGGCTTATAATCTATGTAAACCTTTTATTTATTTATTTAAAAGCTTTTGCTGTAATGCAGAGACGAAATTTTCTACAGTGACTATACGGTACACATCGTGCAGCAGATGTTGGTCAAACCTGCAGTTTTATCAGAGTGAGAAAATAATGTTCATTCTTTTCATTATATGTAGTAGTCTTGTATTTGGAATCAAATAAATAGAATTGAATAATTGAGAGGTGTAGCTTAATTTTCTTGCTCGTTTAAATAATAAAAACACATTTGGCGCACAGTATTTCCTTGGTTACAACTTACAACACAACCGCTTCATACCCCAGCTGGGTATTAAAATATTCTAGAACACACTCCAGAGCAAAGCATTTTGGGTGATGGGCGTGGGTTATTTAAATAAAAACCTGTTGTAATTTGAGACTTCTGTCAGTCGTTTGGCGTTGCTTGCTGCAGTTTGTACAGTAAATCTACCCCGATCGCGTAGAAAAATATTTTGACAAGATGCCTAAGTGTCCTAAATGTAATAAGGAGGTTTATTTCGGTAAGTTTATTTGTAAAAGGCCAAATTAGGGCTGAAAGTAATATCTAAGAAGCAGTTTTCACCCTTGGCAAATAGTAAAATAACATAGCTTCATATATATATGATTTTACACCGCTAGGATTAGTATCCCAATATCTCCTGTACTGAAAATTGATCGTTTACTTTGCCTAAATGTGTACAAAGGGCTATGTTTAAACTTCCTTTATCTCATGTGCATCTTGCTTTCTTCTACAAGTCGATATATAGACGACATATATAAGCACATGTCCGAGAGTCGAACTTGAATTTGGGATTATTTTAGATGTATTTTAATGAGCCGATACCTTGTGGAGTTATTTAATTAATTTTGGAGTCTATTGAATTTGTAATTGTTCTTCCTATATATTTTTCTTTCAAAATGAAACCTGTATGTTATATGTTATCATTCAAGTTGAGATTGAGGAATTATAAAATCACATAAAGGCCCATAAAACGTTACAAGCAGCCAGCTGAAAATAAATGTGATCTCACCTTTTGACCTGGACATATAATATTTCTGAGTGATATTGATCAATTGAGGGAGATATTGGTCGTTTATATAAGGCCCTCTTTAGAAATGTTGACAGTATTTCAGGAGCAAGCAAGTTGCGTCTCTTAATTCTATTTATTTGCATCCGATTTGTCTTTCTCATGATGACGAATATCCGCCAATTTTGGGCGGCTTCTAATTCTCATTAACCAATGCAGACAATTAAAACAATGTGAAAAGCAATATTTCAAAATAAACTAACCATTTACAAAGCAAAGTTACCATCATTCGTACAAAAAATTATAAAAAGTCTCTGTTATGTGGACCTTAACTCACAGACTTCGGCCGAAAAGCGACCCGAAAATGGTGGCGGGAGAAAGGCTAATTGATGCAAATACAAGACTACCAGTACCATGTATTATGAAAAGAATTAACATTTATAACTGTCTCACTTTTGATAAAAATGTTGGTTGAAAACTGCTGGCTAGACATGTGGCAGGCCTCGGCAGGGCTTGAAATAACAACAGCCGATCAATGATCGGCAAGAAATTGTTAGGGGTGCACCGGAACGCGGTTTCGGCTGGAACCCCAATTTTTTGGCTGGAATGGCCGCAACCGGAACTCTGTTGTTTACAGTGAGATAGAATATCAAATGTTTTTGTGTCTAACAAAAGTTCACAGTAGGAAGAAATTTAGACTACACAAGGAAAATATACACTGTAAATCTTTTTATTCCAACATTTGCGAGCGAGCTCTCTCCTTGATGACTTGAAGTGTCTGCCTGTCTGGCAGCAGACAAAGTAACATATGACTATGTATGTCTTAATAAATCAGTTCCAGTTTCCGGCAGAGTACAGTCAGTGTTTGGATTGATTACTGGGGTACGATTGGAATTAGAGTTGGATATTTATATGAAAATTCATGTATATTTTCAAACAATATTTAGCCGAGAAAGTGCAGTCTCTTGGAAAAGACTGGCATAGACCATGTTTGAAGTGTGAGAAATGTGGCAAAACACTGAGTTCTGGTGGACATGCAGAGGTGGTTATGAATATTTGTTAACATTAATACCATACAATTGAATTAACATGTGGTGCAGGTCTGGTTACATGCACTTCCTATAGTAGTGTCTCTGCAGTCTTGCTTTCGTAGAACTACTAATATTCAATAGCAAACTATTGTTTTCTGCCTTCGTGTTAATGTTTATGTAGCCTTATAAAAAATTCTCTTAATTTGCCTATTAATTAAAGCTTTTCACACATGCTAAAACCAGCCTGTGTTCCACTACACAACACAGGCTAGCATAAACTCAAAGTCCGCATCAACACAATTTATGATTTTCCTGGGCCTAGGAAAAATATGGAGGTTATATATAAACTTGAAACTCTCCTAATAGACGCCTCTTTAGTACAGATAGGCTGATGCGATATTGAAACATACTGAAAAAAATATTGCCTATGTCAAATTACTCTGTTTATACTCTCAAATTGCTCACACGCTTGCTGCTTGAATTTGCAATTGCCGAAATTACAGATAGGTTCTACCATACATTATTCTCTTGTATAATATTTAAAATAGAATGTCTCTATAATGGACACCTCTTTAATACATACACTTCTAAAGTCCACAATTTATATTTTAGCACGAAGGCAAGCCGTACTGTAACAAACCATGCTATGCCGCCATGTTTGGCCCTGGAGGTTTCGGCCGTGGTGGTACTGAGTCGCACAAGTATTAAACAAAAATCTCACAAGTGGAGCCATTAATATAATCAAGCATGTTTTAAGCCCAAGGGAGTTGTAAATAAAAACTAGAAAAAATTAAAAAAAATTTTGGTAGTGTATATTTATTTATGACTATTACTATTAAAGTAGTTTATTTATTTATTTATTAGATTTTGCCAAATATACAACATACATACATAGTCTGTATTCAGACATAACACAAACACCAGAACATGCACATCAATATTAAAAAAAAACAACTATTGTTTTAGAACAATACCCATTGTTTAATTCAAGAACAAAAGCCATTGTTCAGAGACAAAAGCATAGTTGATAGTTAAATTATAAGTTCTTATAAGTTACACAAATCTATTGTTAAGCAACAAAAACTATTGTTTCAGAACAATACCCATTGTTCATCTGCAAAAGGTGTTGTTCAATAACAGATCTGTTTTCGCAAGTCTATTTTACTGACCAGAAAACCTATTGTTGAATAACAAATAAGGTCTTCTATTTAATATTTTTACCACTAGTTTTAATAGTCAGGGGCAGATCTAGCTTCAACTGCAAGGAGGGGTGCTGGTCATGGGGTGGTGCGTGAGGGAGCCTTACTGCCCACTCTCCTCTGCAGTCTGCAACGCTACTACCCCAACATTACCATTATTTGAGATGGCCGAATCTGCATGTTCGCCTTTCTGTTACGTTTTACATTATCTTTATCACGTATGCGTGACTGGACAGTGGCTGTAGCACAGTACAGTAAATTTGCCTATTAAAGTACAGCGGTGTATTTGAAAATATGGCTGTATAACAACCTCGATATGTTTACACATTTCACCATTATATTTAACAAAAGCATTCTGAGAATTTTCTCGTGGGCTCACAAATCAATTGAATCCTTTCAAGAAAAATCGTCACACGCTAATAGTAGAAGTCCCGCTAATCGCTATTCGTAAAGCAGAAAATGTATGGTCGAGCAGATTTGTTTTAGGGTGGGTTACTATTAGGGTTAGGGAGGTTGGGTTGCGCATCCCCACAGTAGATCTGCCCCTGAGTTTTATACATCGCCATTTACAATTCTATGTGCAAGTTATATTACAAATTACTTCTACCACTATCATTTAATTTAGGGTTTAACGTTGATAAACCAGTTTTATGAATATTACACATGACAATATCTCGATAAGTCACCTTGAGGGGGGACCAATTATAATCTTCAGATCAAATTGGCGGCGGCTATTTTGCAAGTATTACTATACTTAGGTCATAACTTGATGCTATAACCAACAGCATCTGGCATTGCTAAACATTTTGATCCTGATCCTGTTGTGTAATGCTAAGAGACCCACTATCCGATTGATCCAATATTTCATTGCTAGTCTTTCTACTTTCCAATCCAGACAAAACGTCTTTAGTTATCCCCGCTGTCATATCAATAACGCTGTACATTCTTTTCATCTCGTGGTTCGGGTTCTCGGCGGATACTTCGACCGTGACAGAGTAACGAACACGCTGGTCTTCCTTGTTACGTTTGAAATATACACAGGCGAGGGTGAACCCCAGAAGGGCAGCTAGGGGGAGACAAATGGCTAAGACGTAGAGGGGCATGCCTGTACGACCACCAGAGGAGTGAGTTGTGATGGTGGTTGGCGGACGTTCTGATGATGATATCTCTTGAGAGTTGTGGTTTAGGACCTGCAAAAATTATTGGATATCGTCGTAATTATTCTCCGATCCGAGTTCGCGTTATAGATTTCCATCTTCATATTTGCCAAAAGTGGACCCCAGAATTGAACTGTTCATGCTCAGAATTAGGCCTATTTCAAACGTCGCGCTTCTCATGGGCCGAACGCATTAAAAACAACAGATAATCAGCTGAAATGCCTCGTCTATTGTTTCGCACCGGAAATTTATTAATGATGTTTGGAAAATCCGGGCGCGGGTGGCGGCGTTTTGAACATTTTATTTTTACTCTACATTTGAATGAAATTCTTTTCACTTCAACCGCAGAAATTTCATGAAATTTGAGCATGAAGATTGGAATACTTAGATCTATTTTTGGCAAAGATCTGTAGATAGCGAGATGGAAAATTGATACGGAGTATAGGCTTGGCATAATTGCGGATTGGAGAACAATGAAAAAACAATGGAACATTTCGATCACCGAAACATAACTGGGTGGCAATATTTTTATGCTAAGTGCTAAGGGAATTTTACTCGAGTGGTAGATTATGGACATTAACCAGGGTTAACCAGACTGTCTGCCCTTGCACCGATTAACCCACTAAGCTTTAATGTGCCCTACAGTGTCATTTATCTCAAGGTGGGGCTGAGGTGAACCCAGTTCAGAGCTGTCGTGATTGGTTTCTGAAGAACCTGGAAAAGATTATAAAAACTCGGACGTTTGGAAAAGATTATAAAAACTCGGACGTTTATTCCTTTTTTGGTATCGGAATAAATTGCGTTAATTATTCTAAAAATAGCTCTATAAATAACTTTTACCTTACTACTCGAATTTATGCTTGAGCGGTAACTCGATCCTTTGGTTTCCAAGACTGATGAACTGAGAACAGATACCACACTATAACTGGTCGATAAACTATCCTCACTCGAACTTAAAGTTTCCAAAATCATTTTCTGACTTGACGTTTGTCTTTGTGTGTTTATACTTTCCTTATTTGCAGACGTTTGTGAAACGCTAGCAAATATTGTCATTACGTTTGTTGGCTTTATCCTGCTATCTTTATTCACAGTTGTTGTCGACGACAAATACACGGTGTGAGTTAGATAAGAGTTGTTTCCGTGTCGGCTAAACTGAGAAATCTCAGAACCCCTGTAGGTTGACGTGGCGTATACTGTATGGAGTGTTTTAGACGTTTTGAGGCCCTCTAATGTTGAACTTCGATGTGCGCTTGAAGTATGGCTGCTTTGGTTCCTGTCAGCATAGCTCGTTGTAGAAACTCGTGTTTTTAATTTTTCTGTTCCTGAAATGCTAGGTCGTGACAACGATACATTAATTATTCTCGACAGTTGTGATGTTTGCGTAGTTGATCGAATCGATAGGAACCGGTAATTAGAACTCGATTCAAGCGTGTGGTAACTTCTAGAACTTTCTGCTGCAGTAAATTCAACTCTGGATTCTATTGTACTAGAGGACGGAACTAGATTTCTGCTCTCCGACTCTGTAAAACTTTGGAGAACACTTGAACTTTCTGCTGAAGTAAATTCAACTCTGGATTCTATTGTACTAGAGGACGGAACTAGATTTCTGCTCTCCGACTCTGTAGAACTTTGGAGAACACTTGAACTTTCTGCTGCAGTAAATTCAACTCTGGATTCTATTGTACTAGAGGACGGAACTAGATTTCTGCTTTCCGACTCTGTAGAACTTTGGAGAACACTTGTATAAACCCTGTGAACCGTGGAAGATTTTCTAGGCACTGTTTGTGAGATATTAGCACTTGAAAATCTGTTTCCTGTTGAGTACCGTTCTATTTCGGAGCTGCCTGTGACCTTTATTGTCGAATTTTGCAGACCAGCTGTGCTGCCAGTGCTAGGATTAAGTTCGTATGTCTTTGTCTTTCTGCTCCCAGCGTACGTTCTATTTGGTCGCACTATTAGCATACTTCCCGTAGTAAAAATAGTTTGTAAATCAATGCTGCGCGTTTGCGTGTTTGTGAATATATTGCGCACACTTTTCGATTGTGTGCCATTGCATAAATTGCGCACAGATTGTGTTCGCGTGCGTTGTGGTGTTAACGTACTCACAAACGAACCAGATTTTGAAATCTCGCTCGATTGTAAAGTAGCGGTGATTGTATAGCTTTCTTCCATCACAATGCTGCAAGATTTGTGTACAAGAATTGTCTGTTTATCCAACGACTTTAAAACACTTGCCGTTGGTAATAATATCAGCTTTGAGGTGACGTAGTTCACATTACTCAGAGTCGCATTCTCTTGTGTTGTTGATATTATTTGAAGCACGAGCCAAAGACCTATAAAGCAAACAAATGATAGGTCGAAGTATTAAATACTGAACGATTTAGGAAGCAAAGTTCTGTGACATGATGTTCTCAGATGGGCAGCCGTTGTGTATATGCTTGCAATTCGTCTTCATGAAAACGTTCCCATTATATTTTGGTGAGAAAAATGAACTCAGTAGGATTTTGTATCAGATATACAAGATCCTTCGCGGTCATGATTTTCTTCGTGTTTTCTTTATGAATTCGCAATAAGAATTACAAATGTTATTGTCGAAATACCGTGTTTTTTAATGTGCTGCAATGCGGATTTATTTTAAACAGATTATAATATTATTACACAACACAAGACCTAGAAACAATGAATAAAACCAGACAAAAATATAGACTTTCATTTTGTTACAAGCAGTGTAACAGGGTGTCGATATATCTCTGCGATCAGTCAAGACTGATTTACATACTACACACAAAAGACAAGATAGATGTGATCCAGACTATAATTTGTACTGGTCACCATGACTTTGTCACGACCAAATCTAGACTAAATAAACCTTACCATGTATTTGTAATCTTTTCATATTGATGTGCATTGAACTGATGAAGTTACTCGCCCATATTTTATCTGTTTCGACAAGCTGATAACACACGAACGTCAGAGCCGATCACAACAAGTCCGATCTAAAGGTATTTGTGGTCTAGACTGTGCAAATTATTAAGCTCCTTGCCTTTTTCGGCTCGCAACGGATGTAACTTGACCTCTCGTCAATCGCGATAATGTGAGTGGTTTCCTCGGCTTTTCTCATGGGGCAAAACGAAATGCTTTTGGAAGACATGCAGCTTTTCTTGGTGAATGAGAAACTTGAGGTATCCAGGAATATATGTTTCTCCAACAATGTTTCCTGGCCTTGTTTGCCGAAGGTGAACAAACCAGGAAACATTTTTTAGCCATATGTTTTCCTAAGTGCGCAGGAAATATTTAAAAAAAATCGAGAAGCAAAGCGTGTAGTTCTCAAGTTTGGGCAAACACGGACATGCTTGCGGAAACATCAAAAGTTTCAAATGTTTCCGCAGTTTATATAATGTTATTTTCCCAGGCCGCGTCAGTAATCTTTTTCTGTATAAACCAAAGCTAACAATAACATTTTCAAAACGAGTTATTTCAAAATAAAAATATAATAATTATAACTTTTAATAGTTATTCCATTGTCTACAATCACAGGTCGGTGGCCATAAACGTTTTAACCAATACGACTCCAATTAAATTTAGCTACTTTTTTACACAACTATAGTACCATTGCTCAAGTTTGTCTAAATGATGTATTGAGACTGTTCATAGTTCGTAGGTTCACAATTCGAAGGTTCGTAATTCCGGTGGTTCACAATTCGAGGTACATAGTTCGTAGGTTCATAGGCCGTAGGCTCAAAATTCGTAGAAGGTATATAATTCGTAGATTTATAGTTCGTAGGTTCAAAATTCGTAGGTACATAATTCGTAGGAACATAGTTCGTAGGTACGTAATTCGTAGGTACATAATTCGTAGGTTTATATTATAGTTCTTCATGATGAAGTTTAGGTCCACTAAACTCGTTGTGTGAAATATGGCCGTCCTCGTCTTCATCGTCCTGAGCAAAGATATTATCGACCATCTGGTCATGATATTGCTTCCAATAATAGTCATCCATTGGTGCCCCATAATGCATCTGTGCTTGTTTCTTCATGTAGTCTGCGACCTCGTCACGTGACAGCTTCTTGTTGCCATCTTGATCCATCCCGCCAAACACGTCGGCCTGGGGAGGAGGCTCTCGTAAGTCGAGCAGTTGAACTTCATACGTAATCGTTGCGTTGCCTAGAAACGAACAAAATACACTAGGTTTATAGAGGGTAGAGCTATCCAGTATAATTCATATTACAGTTTACTCCTGTGGTAACACTGGAGCAGTATGGAGAAATTATAGAGCTATCCAGTATAAATAAAGTTAGTTTAGTTTACGGTTTCTCCTGTAGTGACACTGGGTCAATAAGAGATGATCCTTTAATACTGGACCTCTAGGAAGAACAGTTTAGAACTGATAGAGCTATCCAGTATAAATAAAGTTAGTTTAATTTAGGTTTCCTGCTGTAGTAACACTGGATCAATAAGAGACGATTCTTACTGGAACTCTAGGAAGAACAGTTTAGAACTGATAGAGCTATCCAGTATAAATAAAGTTAGTTTAATTTAGGTTTCCTCCTGTAGTAACACTGGATCAATAAGAGACGATTCTTACTGGAACTCTAGGAAGAACAGTTTAGAACTGATAGAGCTATCCAGTATAAATAAAGTTAGTTTAATTTAGGTTTCCTCCTGTAGTAACACTGGATCAATAAGAGATGATTCTTACTGGACCTCTAGGAAGAACAGTTTAGAACTGATAGAGCTATCCAGTATAAATAAAGTCATCATTCCGTACCTGGGATAAGTCCAGCACCTTTTTCACCATATCCCAGCTCAGGAGGAATGGTAATCTTCCTCTGTTCACCTTTGCACATATCTTTAATGCCTTTTTCAAATCCTTTAATCACAGCACCAGTTCCAATTATAAACTCGAAAGGGACATATCGCTTTAACGGATCTATTGTACTGTCGAATTTCTTGTCCCCGACCCAACCAGTATAATGCAAGACGGCCACTTTGCCTGACTTTGTTATAATATCGCAATCTATTGGTTTGTAAATCGTTTTGAGGTGTATACTCGCTTTGGGTTCGCTACTGACTTCTTCTTTGCTCGATTCTTTGTCTTTATTTTCTTTATTGTCTGTTTCTTCATCACTTTTAACTTCGCCTTCATTGTTCTTCTCATTATTCACTATTTCAACTTTAATCTCTCCATCGTTTTCCGATTTGAACTGTTCGGCTTTCGCTAAAGTTTCCTGGAGCAAACTGGCTTGGCAGCAATGTAAAAGAATTGAAATAACAAGAAAGGCTAGGATATATTGTTTAACAGCCATTTTGGTGAAAGGTTTTGTACTAAACTACTTGTCAAGTACAAGTTAGGAGCTGTTGATGCTCGTTATTCCACGTGTAAGTCGCACAGAGCTGTAGGACAGCAAATAACCTGCAGAGTTCGTTCAAAACAAACAGGTCCTTTATATATAGACGCAGGTACGAAAACATCACTAATGGCATTTCATCCTCAGGGCCCCTATCAGAGGGGGCAATTTGCCCCGGACCCCCAGTGTAAGGGGCCCCCAAATTTGGAGATAAAAAAAATTGGAACGTTTTTTTATCTAAATAATGGATTGAGAAAAAAAAATTTAAACCTAGATTTTGTAGATATTGGTCCAAGAAAAGGGTTTTACCAATGTAATTTAACAAGAATTTGTCCGGAAAAATAGTTTTTTGAACCTTAACTGATGTTAGTCGGGAAAATGTTTTTTGACCTTTTTTTAATGTCCGTAAAAATTTTAATCTGCAAACAAAGTTGTAACAATGGAATATGTTCGCACTGTTCGTTCCCAGTTGTTGTGACGAGTCTGGAACAAGTTGTTATCACCTTGTTACAAGGTTGATGACGTTAACAAAGATTGTTGGGCAACTTGGGGGTGGTGTGACACCGGGCGGGTTTGGAACGGTTATTAGGGAATTTTAGATCGCTACGGCTACGAAATCTAGTACGACTACGAGATCTTTTCTATTAAACTGTATCAGCTAATAAAAACTTATAATAGTACGTGGTTTCGCGCAACTGTTGCCATAAAGATGTGGTATGCAAAAGAAAGGACGATAAAAAGTCTGTAGTAGCCGATACTTAACGGGAAAAATCTCGTAAAGTCGTACAGGATTCGTACAAAACTTGAAAGTCCTTGAATGTCCTTGAATTTGAAAACAAAAATTCAAGGCTTTGAATGTCCTTGAATTTGTAAAGAAGTACTTGAATGTCCTTGAATTCTTCTTGCTTTATATTAGTTTTTGGATATTTTCTGAAATTGTTTGACATTCAAGACGGACATTTTGTTGAACTGATTTTGCATGTTCATATCTGACCTCATTATAAAGTTACGTTTTGAACAATTCAACGTCAGATTTTGCTGATTTCTAACACCTTCTTCAGTATTTAGTCCTTGAATTTACTAATACACGGCCTTGAATGTCCTTGAAAAGTCCTTGAATTTGACTCTTCCTGACCTGTACGAACCCTGGTCGTACCAGATTTCGTGGCCGTAGCGAATCTAAAGTTCCCTATTAACAAAACTACAAAGCTGTGGAATGTAAATCTTCGAGTTGCAAGTATTAAAGCTCTTCGTCGTCAAATTAATTAGCAGGGCCTTCGCTCGAAACGTTGGAGTTTTACTTGTATTTTTTGAAATAGTTTAATCTCTCCCAATCAGTAGATTTCTGGTGTTGCCAGTACTAATTACGTTAGCACAGACCTTAGCTTTCGAGTTTATATTAACAAAATTAGGCAGTACAACAAAGTTAGTGGCATGTCCAGTAGCTACCAAACAATGTCTACACGCATTGTTTTCTATTATTAAATGCTGATATGGTCGGATGGAAAAGATAATTACAAAATTGAATTGCGAGGCAACAAGCGGTCTATAGTCGGAATTTTGGTAATGCAATATAAATACACAAGACAAATAATAATTAAATGGATTGTTATTGAAATGAGTCCTTGCATGCTGGGAACGTTGTTTTGAATGTTTGCCCTCTCTTCCATCAGTTTTCAAGCATTTCAGCTCATTAGCAGGCACTAGCTTTGTCGAACCAAGTGATGTCCTCATCATTGTAGATTAGAGTAGCAATGGTTTCCCAATTGTTTTTTGGTTGTTTTCAGTTTAAATCCGCCCAAAGGCAAAAACAAAGTACTTTAACAATTATAAAATAGCAGATAGTTAAAATACTCTTGGGCTTGGAACCTTCTGGAAAGCACAAGGCTTTTATTAACTTGTTAACTTGTAGTCTGATATTCAGTTAGGTCGAGTACACACCATATTTATGTTATAGCCGCCTTTCGTAAAACTATTCAGACCATAGATACAGAAGACCTATCGGATTCAGAGTGGGAGAAGAATTATCCGGAAGAACAGCGCCGAGAAAATACCGTTTGTTTATCGTGTTTAGACAGCGAGAAATCATTAGATGAAGTATCTTTTCTTTATTCAAGTTTGGACAAACAGATCGTCTCTGGTTATTGTAAACTGTTCCAGAGGTGTCTGAGTTGATCACTGTGCTGTTCGGCGGGATGCAAATTTAAGTACTGAGGGCGGTTTTTCCGTTTCCGGTCTGTTGCTAGCTAGACGAGAAGGTGGTCACAGTTAGGAACCTTGTGAGCGAGCTACAAGCAGTCGTCCACTCTTTGACCAACTGAGTCCAATATCACTTGGACAAAGAGTCCACACCCAGACACAAACCACGACAGTTTATTGTAGAATACTATCTACACTGGACCACCATGTTTGAGATATCATTTTCAGGTAGTTCAGACACAAACCACGGCAACCACGGCAGCTTATTATAGAATACTACCCACACTGGACCACCACGTTTGAGATATTTTTTCAGGTAGTTAAGACACAAACCACGACAGCTTATTGTAGAATACTACCCACACTGGACCACCACGTTTGAGATATTTTTCAGGTAGTTAAGACACAAACCACGACAGCTTATTATAGAATACTACCCACACTGGACCACCACGTTTGAGATATTTTTTCAGGTAGTTAAGACACAAACCACGACAGCTTATTGTAGAATACTACCCACACTGGACCACCACGTTTGAGATATTTTTTCAGGTAGTTAAGACACAAACCACGACAGCTTATTGTAGAATACTACCTACACTGTCACTGGACCACTACGTTTGAGATATCTTTTTCACAAACCACGGAGCATATTGTAGAATACTACTTACACCGCTGGACCACCACGTTTGAGATATCTTTTTCAGATAGCTCAGACACAAACCACGGAAATTATTGTAGAATATACCTACACTGGGCCACCACGTTTGAGATACCGGTACCTTTTTCAGGTATAGTTCAACCACGGCAGCTTATTGAAGAATACTTGCTACACAGGACCACTACGTTTAAGGGATATTTTTCAGGTAGTTCAGACACAAATCACGGCAGCTTATTGAAGAATACTTCCTAGTTCCTACACTGGACCACTACGTTTAAGAGATGTTTTCAAGTAGTTCAGACACAAACCACGGCAGCTTATTGTAGAATACTTCCTAAACTGGACCACTACGTTTAAGAGATGTTTTCAAGCTAAGTTACAAGTAGTTAAGACACAAACCACGACAGCTTATTGTAGAATACTACTTTTCTGATACTTAGACTGGACCACCACGTTTGAGATATCTTTTTCAGGTAGTTCAGGCACAAACCACGGCAGCTTATTGTAGAATACTAAACTGATATCTTGTTTACATTTCCTGGAGCATCATGAAATCTTATGTTTAACCACGGTGATTTAACCCATTAGCTGGCAATGCGCCCTTCCCTTGTCGAGCGCCAGAAGATTTTACTCGTCAGTGGTATAGGGTACTGCCAGTAAATGGGTTAACAAACCTATCTGCCAATGACTCTTGTTAATTCATCAGCACAGTAATGACCCCTACTTTAGTATTTACCCTGTCCAACGCCAGACGATTTTTAATGCTTGGTCAGTGGTAGGGTACTGTCAATAAATGGGTTAACAAGGATAACAATAATTAGCCTGCATGGTAGGCGGTATTTCCCAGGCTTGCCCAATTTTAGGAACCGCCTGCCATGCAGGCTAAACAATAATAGGATGTTTCTGAGGGACTCGTTCAACACCCTGTAGTTTGTCTTTTGCTGTCAAAGGCAGCATTACTGCCCTGTGGGTAACCTAGTTGTAGAATACTACATGTACACTCGACCCTTCATGTGTGAAATATATATCAGTGCTGATAATATTTAATCATCTCTAATTTTAGGAATTTTCGGGATGAAAACAAGAATTACTTGTGAATAAAACATGTTCCAATTTCCTCATGAAACATTAACTGTTTGGGCTTTTTTTAGTCATGATATTAAAAATTCATTGAATAAATAATCATGAGAAGTTGACATGTGAAAATATCTAACAGGATACCGTTCAAAACTGATGATTAAGCCAAATTTGAATCGAGAGAAGATAAAAATATTATGTGTCAATAAATTTGACAATTTAAATTTTACAACGAAATAAGCGACCAACATCGAATGACAGTCCGGAAATATTCACATTCCATCTTTTGACAATTTGCGAAGATTTATTTCAATATAGACAGCCGGTCCGGGAATAGGAGTCTGTATACTAGTAGATTCTTGCTAGTGTAACTATCTTATAAATAGAAATACAACATTTGAGCAAAAGTCTTTATCATGATATTAGCCTAACATAAATGGGTGCAGCCTTCTACCGTTTTGTAGAAAAGGGAGAATCCCTCACAAAACGCCAAAAACACTTGTCTGACATTATGTCTTGAAAGCCCGCTTCTAATTTTTACTGTAAAAAAATATTGAATTTTCTATAGTTTTTTATCGTTACAAAACCACCATTTTTTTTTCATTTCTTTTCATCTATTTGCTTTGTTGACGCCAACTGCCACACTCAACAGGAAATGGACCAACATAAATTATTCACTGCATAGAAACTGGTTACATTTTGTACATAATTGTTGCTTACAGTAGTTCTGAACGTAACACAGTGCCTAAGTACTAAAATTTTATTTTCTATATGCATTTTTCCTTTCCGAAGGATATAAAGTTACACTAGATATTGGGACACCGGTGGGATTTCATCACATGCTATCCGCGTATCAACTCATGCATGTTCGGCATATAAACAAACGCATTTCACTGCATAAAACACAGGAATTTCGACCCAAAATCCCGTATTCACTTCCCTAAAGCATCAACCAACATTCCCCCAGTTTCAATCGATATTTTTAAAGAAAAATACCCTGGTTTCGAACCGTAATTTTGATTGAAAATTGTCAACATTGTGCAGTGATGTCATAGGTTTTCAGGTAATTCCCAGAATCGCAGTTCACATGAAACCGTGAAGGGAAATCCCTGCACCATTGCGTTCATAAACACGGCAGCTTTGAATGAAATTCGTCACTCCTTGTTTGTATTCCAAGGTGAATACACAAGCGAAATCGAAAACCGTCTTTCCTATAAAACGTGGTAGCATTTTCGAAATCGGTGCTTATCTCCAACTTGCAGTACAATTACGAATACTATACGAGACTTTGAGCTTGTAAAAGATATCTGAGAAGCTGAAGCAAGAAGGAAGTACATCGCATTTTGTAGCTGCAGTAAACAGACCGTGCAGGAACGAATCTGGTTTAATATCTACTAAATAGATCCCGAATTTAAGTTATTGTTCACGACTACAAGATGCCCATTGAACGATTACGTATGAGACCGTGGCTGGAGATTGCTTTGAACGAAGGCAAGTTCCCTGGCGTTGAATGGCTGAACGAAGAAACGAAGACCTTCAGACTGCCTTGGAAACACGCATCACGTAATGGCTGGCAACTCAACACAGATGCCTCGTTGTTTCGTGCATGGGCCGAACACACGGGCAAGTATAAAGGCAGCGATAAACCGAATCCAAAGACATGGAAAGCGAATTTCAGATGCGCTTTGAACTCATTGCCTGACATGGTAGAGCTCACGGATAAGCGAACAACGAAAGGCAATAATGCGTTTAAAGTGTACAAAATCATAGACAATGCTGTGAAAAAGAGTTATACTTCTAAAAAATTGAAAGGTATAACTAAATGTACGCACATAGCAGTATAGAAGAAGGCCGAAGTCTAAGAACTGAAGCTATTTGTTACATGTATTGTTGTCTATTGTCACAGCGGTGTGTACAAATAGCTGGCTTCGCTGATTTTTAGGTACAAAAATGCATCTCCACCACAAGAGCGTTAAAAGCTTTTAGCTTGGTACTGATAAGCTAAGATTATTATGAGTTTAGGTGCTCAGGCAGCCAAACTCTGAATCAACAATTTTGTCTAATTTTGGCCTACAAACCGCGCCAAAAGGTTGTCGCACTGGTTGTTGTTACCGAAACAATTGCGCGACTCGACTACACCCAGATATTCAATATGCCTTTGCCAAATTTAGGAAATTTACTATGTAATATAGTTTTTAATTTAAGCAGCTATGATACTGACACAAATACTACCGAAACTATACTATTGAAGTGAAGAATTAAATTCCAGTGTAGGTACTGGCAACGCGAGGCTGGTTGAAGAATGCAACTACAGTCTACAGTGATTTTCTAGACTCGCTTCAAACATGAAAGTCCTATCAGATAGTTGCATTTTTCAACCGACCACGTGAAGATGGTATGCAGATAGATCCAAGGTTCGTCTATGTACATCCATATTTTGCTAAATTTTGTACTCGGTTTCATGCGAACGTATTTTTGCCCAACGCGCAAAAGGTATTCATTCATTGACTGATCAAAATTGCGAAACATGCCTGATTATATACAACGTAGTCACTTTAAAGCAAATATTACAGTTTATCGCCTTGCTTTATAACTTCAAAAAATCATTTTCAAAACTATGTCTATGCATCTTTATACTAGCTTTCTCCATGCAGTAACTTTTAAAATTGCGTAAACTAGTACGATTCGTAAATCTCTCCACCCACTTGTTGCAAACGTCGCTCTCTTTTTCGTTCAAATTCGTGTTTAAACTTCAAAAAATCGTGCTCAGATTAAAGCGTTTTTTATTTATTTTATTACCAGGCCGTGCTCAACGGAAGAAGAAACAGTTTTACAGGACAAGAAGCATTGAGAAGGGTCTGCAAATAAAGAAAAACAACACGGAATCGCACAAGGAAACAGCGCAGGTGTATATAAACGCGGCCGTCACATTAGAGTGTTTCCCATTCGAGTTTAGCGTAGGCGTTTCGACTATTCAATGCCTTGTTCTTTTGACTCAATATCCTACGAACTAAAAGCAAGTTTAGCAATGCAAATTGTAGTATTTTTTAAGCAGAAAAGTTGTATTTTAGGGGCAGAAAATTTAACATGTGGGCGTCTGGTGATTCCAAGAAGTGAATTTACTTGGAATCTTATGCGTCACGTGGCGTTTGGAATGTTGGGCGTGTGTTAATTTCTCCAGATTTTACATGATTCTTTTTATTAGCCCAAGGTTTGCCTCTTTTAAACACAACCTAGACCTTTCAAATAAGAAAGAACGATACATTTCAGTTGCCAGTTGCAAAATTCGCGGCGTTTTGCGCAAATCACACATGTGCTAGTCGTGTTTGTAAAGACATGTCGCTACACGCAACAGCCACATCAGTCATCTCTTTACGACGATTTTAATTGAATGATGCATGCTAATACAAGTCAAAGTACAAATTAAAACTCCACACAATTTTAAAGCTTGAAATCTGTTGCTAAGATACTAAAGCCCAGTTTTAGGCGAACTTTTGATGCGCCGAATTTAATCAAAACGCCTAAATGCGTCGGATTTATTGTACCGTACGAAAATACAAGTACGCTATATCAGAAATTTCAATTTGGTAAATTGCTAATATCATGATGAAATGATAATATGCGTTAAAAAAATTATGCACTAGGCTAGGAGCATGAAAAACATGGCGTCTAAACGCATGTCGTAATTGTGGAATGTCGAACTTGGGCAAAATGCCAAAACGGCAAAAAGCGCTTTCTCTACGATCGTAAAAATTTTATTTTCACAAGTTTCGATTACCTGACTATAGCCTTGAAGACGTAGACGTTTACTAATTGAAAGTTTAAGCCTGGTTGACACTATCAAAGTTTCTGCGATCACAGTAGGAATTTTGCATGGGTAAATTGTAAGCTTTGAAGAATTTGTAAAGGTTCTTTATACACTTGCAATTTTTCCTGCGATTTTCGTCTTGTGATGATTGTGAACGAGTAAATGAGTTATGAATTGAATGTTTGCGGTATATCTACCTTCATCTCAACATCCATAACTCATTCACTCGTTCACATCTTTCAGAAGAAGATAATCGCACCTACAATCGCACCAGAAATGTTCGAGAGAACCACCGACTCACTGTTAAACCGGGACTGAGTTCATTTCTTATAAAACATTTCTTACAAATCCTTCGACAACTTAGAATTTACCTTTGCAAAATTCTTACTGTGATCACCGCAACTTTGATAGTGTAATCCATGCAGCCTTCGTGAAAATAATATTTTACGATCAGAGATTGACCAATAATATGTTTTTTCTTCAAACAGTCGTATAAAAGCAACTCAAAAGAAAACGTGACGATGGAGTATCCTTGCAACGTCCCTCAAATCATGAATGGTACGCATTTAGTTGATCATGACTACGGGGTGACGAGATATTTTGATATCTATAACGAAACGACAGACGAGGACATGCATGAAGGTTTGTTGAGACCTCACGAGTGTCGGTGACACAGTGGTTGTCTATTGTGTCTTTCATATCTGTGAACGAGGTTTCATTCCTGCAATATCCAGTTGTCTCATTATAATTTCACCTCAATCCCATGTGAGAAGAGTGCTTCCAGTTTGACTCTACCAAACACCACTGGTTTTATCCAGGTTTCCCCCTACAATCACATTGGATCATTAAGCTAGGAACGGCTCTTTCCGGTCCTCTGATACTTCTATATAGACCCCGTTTACACTGTACCAGATTCGCTGGTCGCGACATCTTCGTTTGCAGTCCAGGAGCAACGTTTAACAACAAAGATTTACTCTTTCAATAACGTCGGTATGTTTCTGCTTGTTACTATCTTTATAAATGTTCTGGCTATTTCATTGACTGTTAAAACTGATGTCGTGACCAGCGAATCCGGTACAGACTATAAAACGGGGCTATAGTAAGAACAGTTTAGAACTGACAGAGCTATCCATCTATTTTTCTAAAGTTTGTTCGTTCACTGCAACCAGGTATATCAATCATGTTTCGTTCGCTGCTCTGGTTTAAATAAATGACTACAAAGCCCAGTCGAATTCAGTGTAATCAAAACCGTCTTGATTACAATTCAACTGGGCTTTGTAGTCATTTATTTAAACCAGAGTAGCGAGCGAGCAAAACATCATCTATTTTTCATTAGTAATTTGAAGTGTTTTGTTTAGTTTTCGATCTTCAAGACAGTACCAGTGTGAAAACAGAGCCACTCTCACCGCAAGTAATCGGAGCTGATCATGATTTCTCATTGTATGCACAGGTAAATTTTAAGTTCAATTTTAAGGAGGGGGACATTGGGATTTACGGTATGGCGGTATAATTAGCTTATTTTTCTTACGGTATTTCGGTAGTTTCCTTGAAAAATTGCGGTATTACGATATTGGAAATCTTGCGGTACACGGTATTTGCAATTTTGGACTCAAAAGCTGCGGTAATTGACAAACTGATTTGCTTACGGTATTACGATATTGATGGCCCCCCATTAAGACACACGTTTTGTGGCTTTCATTAACTAAGCGTTATGGGCGGCAGGTGATTATCAAGTGTATAACAGCACAATTAATATATTCATGATCATGAAACATTTTCTGATATCGAAGTAACAAATCGTGGACGCACTCAGAAATATCGTAAATATAACTTCAAAAATGTTTTCAAATATTAAACAACGTCTCTCAATTGAGTCAATTCTATTTATTTGCCTCCACACCCCTATTACACCTTATAATGAAAGATAGTGCGCAGTGAAACATTCCTCTACTCATCACATGACTTACATTTGCACGCTCATTGGAGCATAAGCTATGTAATGCACTAAACCTCTTTATTCTTGATTCCAGGAAAGTGCAGTTGATTCCAAGAACATTAAAACATCCTGTACGAAAGAAGGTACAAAGGTCATTCTAAAATAGACGAATTATGCAATTCTTTAAAGAATCTCAATTATTCTGTTTGTTATCCCTCTTAAGGGGGTAGGGCAAGAAGAGGCGATCATACACACCCTTCAAAATTCAAATAATCTCCAAAATTACATTCATTCGAGTTGCAACTCTCATCAACTCTTGCTTGACCGACGAGAAACATTGTATTTAATCAATATATTATTTTTTGTATTTTCTTTAGACGAAAAAGTAATGTCAGATGATGAAGTCGTTGAGGTACACAATCATTTTTAAATTTAATTTAAAACTTTCTCTTGCGCATTTCAGAATAACACGTTTTCACAATACAGTGTTCAATTTATGCCAAGATGAAATAGTGTCACATTTAGGTAACTTTTTTAAAAAAAAATCTGATTTGTGTAGCTTATTGATGAAATGTCGAGTGATTGCGGTTCAAGCTGTGAGTCTGTTGACCCCACGATGGAAGAATTTTTGTTTGATGGAATTGGTCCATTAGAAACTGGTAGGGAACATCATTTAAGTTTAGTTAGGTTAGCTTAGATTTCCTCCTGTAGTAACACTGGATCAATAAAAGATAATTCTTACTGGACCTCAAGGAAGAACAGTTTAGAACTGATAGAGCTATCCAGTAGAAATAAAGTTAGTTTAGTTTAGGTTTCCTCCTGTAGTAACACTGGGTCAATAAGAGATGATCCTTACTGGACCTCTAGGAAGAACAATTTAGAACTGATAGAGCTATCCAGTATAAATAAAGTTTAGTTTAGGTTTCCTCCTGTCGTAATACTGGATCACTGAGATGATCCTTTCTGGACCTCTAGGAAGAACAGCTTAGAACGTAACTGAGCTATCAAAACTGAGCTATCAAGCTCTGTTGTAACACTGGACCAGTTAAGATAGGAGAACACTTAACAGTTTATTTTACTTTAACTTTACATTTTAATTTAGATTTTCCATCAGAAAAATCAAAACAGAGAGCCAACAGTGCGCCAGCACTTGCATCACCACTCGACGCACTCGACGTATTTTGCCCTTCACCCTCGAAATTCCCTCGAAATAAATCCTCGACAGACATTCATTCAATGCTGTCTATTACGTCACAGGAATTGTTACAGAGCTGTCTCTAAAGTTTTTCAAGGAATATTAACATGTACATACAGCATGGAACCTGGGACAAGGGCGATCTTTTAACCGCGAACGGTCGATGCATGTCAGTGTAGGTAACTGCGACGATCACAAGATAGCTTCAATTCGGATTGAGGGAGATACACTACTTGAAAAATACAAGCAGAACTTCGACATTTCGAACCAAGCTAGGCCACAGAATAAAGAAGTTAAAGACACACAGAAGGTGTCCAACCTCGTCCCTAGCTAGGGTTGTGCTATCTCCTGAGACCATCGTTATAGGTTGCTGTGGTTTTTGTCTGAACTTCCTGAAAATCTCCAAGTGAAAGCTTTCTTTTTCAAGTCGTTCAGAAACAAGCCACGGGAACTTATACGTCGAATCGCTAGTACATTGAATAGCTAGTACATTGACCATGTATGCCGTTTGAACGCACAGCATTTTAAATATAGAAATTCAAATTGTAGTTACACTAACTGTAATAAAAACTAACTTGTAATATAGAACGTTTTAGTTGTTTTAGCAATGCGGACAGAATGTACTCGTGTAAGTGTCGAGGCACGTATTGCATGATTATAATCTAAAACAATTATTAACTAACTGATTGATTATGTAAATAGCTTGTAATAATGAGTCAGCTAGGTTGATGTTGAAAAATAATGAATAAAATTTAAAAAATTAGACTATCGATTAAAATATAGAGCCAAAGTCGCTTGGATGTAGGCATGACCTCAGAGTGCATCCATCAAAATATTTTTCAAATGTGAAACGACAAAGAAATAGATCAAATATGTTAAAGCATGTCTATACTCCTTGCTAGGCATGTCCGGTATTTGAAATTGTGAATTGGGTAGTTACCATTGTTCTGATGATGTAAGCATAGAATGGAACAAAGGTAACCAAACATTTCGATTATATATGTGAGTAAATTGAATAGCAACGGGCATAAATATGTGTTGGCTGATTAAATCTACACTCAATTACAAAACAATCTCTTGGAAACGAGGGTAGAAATTGAAGTATCCGTCATCAAACGTCCCGCGTCTCACCGGAACGTGCAATCCGCAGCTCCGCAGCATGAATCCCGGGCGGCCTTTTCTGATTGGTCCACGTGACTGAGTTCTCTTCCCCAACAAAGGAGCAGTCTGTTCCAAAAACGTGGACAATTTTTGCGAAATTTTCCGCCAAAACACTGCTCGATTTCGCTCAAATTTTGCAAGATGAAAGGCCAAGAAAGTGGCTTTGCTCTACCGTCGTTTTTACCCAAACTCTCCTACGAAAAGCAAGATACTTTGCTAAAGTTATGTATCCTTTCGACAGCCGCCATATTGTGTGAGTAGCAAACTTTGATTTGTTTTCAATAAACAGTTGTGAATTAATTGAAGCATTTGTGAATTATTGAAAGCTTTAATTGTTTGGCTATTTTGGTAGTATAATCCTTCAGAATTGTTGATCATTTTGATCACTGTGATTATTTTTGGATTTTAAATGTTATAATTCAATTACTTTTAGCATTTGCAACGAGATTGTTTTCGGTGCTGCGCTACGAAAGTGTTATCCACGAGTTCGATCCGTAAGTAAAATTAAATTCTAGGTCTGGAAATAAGATTTAAGCTGTCAATGAAACTAAAAAAACCGCTTGATTCATACCTATTGATACATTTAGTCAATTTTGGTAGTATGGAAAAGTCTGTATTTATTATTTTGTTGTTGCTACTGTAGCATTCCAGGGGGGAGTGGCCCTTCACATTTGTCCATTTTTACTATGTATAGTGTATCATTCGTATCCACTTTTGGCCATCCGCACCCCCCGGTGCTGTAATGATCTGAAAGTATTAAAAACATGTTGACGTTTCGAGCAGTCTCGCCCAAAATGTTGAAGTGTTTTTAATCTTCAATTTTGTATTTCACAGATACTTCAATTTTCGTACAACAAAGTTTCTAACACAAGAAGGTTTTTATAATTTCCACAACTGGTTTGACGACCGTGCCTGGTATCCTTTGGGTCGTATCATTGGGGGAACAATTTACCCAGGTAGGGACTGGATCTCATGTGAAAACTGAAAATACTAATCTTAAACTTTATTTATACTGGATAGTTCTATCAGTTCTAAACTGTTCTCCCTAGAGGTCCAGCCTCCCAAGAGGTTCACCCTCCAAAGAAGTTCACCCTTCGAAGGAGTTTACCAGACCTTTTCCTCATCAAGGGAAGAGTGTTGGAGCTCATTAGGTTAACAATTTTTAATTTGTTTAGGTCTCATGGTGACTTCAGCAGTTTTCTATCATGTGATGCATTTCTTTCACATCACAATTGATATCCGTAACGTCTGTGTATTCCTCGCTCCCTTGTTCTCGTCATTCACGACCATCGTAACTTACCACATGACAAAGGAATTGAAGGTAGAGATGATGGGTAATGGATTGATTAATTTGGAGCAAAGTATGAGCAGTCCTTTTTCAATGAATTTATTTTTACTTTTAGGATGAAGGTGCTGGGTTGGTGGCTGCTGCCATGATAGCTGTTGTTCCAGGTAGGTACACTTGGTAGGACTGATTGGCCATTATAAGATTCATTTAGGAATTACTGTGCTTTTTGTTCATCTATGTTAATTCTCACAAGGTGCCTTCTTTCTTTGAAATTTCTAGGTTATATTTCACGTTCAGTAGCAGGTTCCTATGACAACGAAGGGATCGCTATCTTCTGTATGTTGTTAACATACACTCTCTGGATCAAATCGGTCAAGACTGGCTCATTGTTCTGGTCCACATTGTGTGCACTGGCTTACTTCTACATGGTACTATATGTGATTAAAATACGCTTTGTGCCTGACAAGCTGCCTTCCTTGGTTTCCGAAAGTGCTGGCACTCAATTGACAATCAGTAATCTTGGTGCAAGTTTTGCCATGATAATAGTCGAATGTAAAATGATTATATTTCTTTAGGTTTCCTCATGGGGTGGTTATGTATTCTTAATCAATTTAATTCCACTACATGTTCTTGCCCTCATGGCGACCGGACGTTTCTCCCATCGAGTTTATGTTGCTTTTTGTACGGTAAGAGAGAACTATACTCCTATGAGTGTCGACATTTCCTTGGCTGTACTGTAACACTTATTGAAACCCCAATACATTGTGTTTTTCAGGTTTATTGTCTTGGCACTATTTTGTCCATGCAAATTTCATTTGTCGGCTTTCAACCTGTACAGTCAAGTGAACATATGGCTGTGAGTAGAACGAGAAATAAACTGTATTTTGTAGTCTGTAAAAGCAACATATTAAACTAACTTTATTTACACTGGATAGTTCTTTCAGTTCTAAACTGTTCTCTCTAGGGGTCCAGTAAGAATCATCTTTTATTTGTTTGGTGTTAGCATGGATAATAAAATAAATGGATAGGAAACTAGCTGACGTGACCTAATGTTTTCAATGGGCTGATGGCATGATTGGATGTTGAAACCTAGTTGCAAACCAAATTCTCAAAAACGGCATGTTTAGCAATAATACAGCTAAACATTTTAGTCAAAGAGCAAATGAATATAACTACGCCATTCTACGATGAAATCTATAAGTATTCCCAGTCAATTTTAGCAAATATTTCAAGCACTAAACAGTGAAAAAGGCATCCCAAATTTCGTTAAAATTGGGGACGCCAATTTCGTAGCTACAAATGTAAAAAAATACAAAACAAAGACGACAAACATTTACCTTGAATACTTTGTCGTGGCTTAGGCATGTTTTTAAAATAATTAGACCGGTTTATGCTTCAATATTACTCTTTTAAGGCGAAAAATATAGCGAAACAACAAAAATGAAGAGAACTTTGCAATACGCGTGACGTCACAGATTGCAACTAGGTTGTTTTTGCTTGCGTCAGCGAGAGTCCTATCCATTTATTTTATTATCCATGGTGTTAGTACAGGTTCCAGAAATCTAAACTTTAGTTTACTAACTGAAATTTTCTTATTTTTATTTTCAGGCCTTCGGTGTGTTTGGCTTATGTCAAATCCACGCTTTCATTGATTATGTTCGAGCCAAACTAACACCAGCTCAGTTTGCTGTGCTGTTCAAAAGTGCAGTTTTACTGCTCGGCGGAGGCGCTCTGCTCACTTTTGGAATCTTGACGGCCGCTGGTAAGATCTCTCCATGGACTGGGCGATTCTACTCATTGCTTGATCCATCCTATGCCAAGAACAACATCCCAATTATCGCATCTGTTTCTGAACATCAGCCGACGACATGGTCATCGTTTTACTTCGATCTACAGATTTTAGTGTTCATGTTTCCTGTGGGAATGTATTATTGTTTCTCAGGCTTGACTGATGCTAACATCTTTATTATAATGTATGGTGTGACCAGTATATACTTTGCTGTGAGTTATTAATAATTTTACTCTCTTAACTAAACTAATTTTATTTTTACTGGATACAGTAAGGGTCATCTCTTATTGATCCAGTGTTACTACAGGAGGAAACCTAAACTAAACTAACTTTATTTATACTGGATAGCTCTATCAGTTCTAAACTGTTCTTCCTGGAGGTCCAGTAAGAATCATCTCTTATTGATCCAGTGTTACTACAGGAGGAAACCTAAACTAAACTAACTGTATTTATACTGGATAGCTCTATCAGTTCTAAACTGTTCTTCCTGGAGGTCCAGTAAGGATCATCTCTTATTGATCTAGTGTTACTACAGGAGGAAACCTAAACTAAACTAACTTTATTTATACTGGATAGCTCTATCAGTTCTAAACTGTTCTTCCTAGAGGTCCAGTAAAGACCTTCTCTTATTGATGCAGTTGTGTATCCTTCACAATGAGCAATATTTGTGTTTTTTTATCCAGGGTGTCATGGTTCGTCTAATGTTGGTTTTGGCGCCAGTGATGTGTATTCTCGCCGGAATAGGAGTCTCGTCACTTCTCAATAAATATATGAAGGTAATTCATGTATTTATACATATTTGTGGGGTTCTTGTGTCAAGGCAAACAGTATTGTGTATAAAATCTATTCCGCTCTTTCTCTAGAATTTGGACGTAGCTCGACGCGAGAAGAAAACATCGAAGAAAACAACAACAGACTCTTCGTATCCAATGAAAAATGAAACCGCAACAGGAATTGTTTTCCTCGTCACAATGTTCCTCTTGTCCTACACATTCCATTGCACCTGGGTGACTTCTGAAGCGTATTCCAGTCCTTCCATCGTCCTCTCTGCAAGGCAACAAGATGGCTCCAGAGTCATCTTTGACGATTTCCGCGAAGCGTATTATTGGCTGAGTCAAAACACACCTGAGGTGAGGTTGAACTAACTATTGATTCATTGTAGCTACAGCAGGAAACCTAAACTAACTTTATTTATACTTGCTAGCTATATCAGTTCTCAACTGTTCTTCCTAGAGGTCCAGTAAGAGTCATCTCTTATTGATTCAGTGTTACTACAGGAGGAAACCTAAACTAAACTAACTTTATTTATACTGGATAGCTCTATCAGTTCTAAACTGTTCTTCCTAGAGGTCCAGTAAGGTTCATCTCTTATTGATTCAGTGTTACTACAGGAGGAAACCTAAACTAAATTTATTCATATTTTTGCTAGTTTTATCAGTTCTAAACTGTTCTCCACTTCTTCTTAGAGGTCCAGTAAGGCTTATCTCTTATTGATCCAGTGTTACTACAGGAGGAAACCTAAACTAAACTAACTTTAGTTATACTGCTATCAGTTCTAAACTGTTCTTCCTAAAGTAGATGTGACGTCCATCCATAATTGTCTCAGTATTCCTGAAGTAGTAAACTTTGGTACCCAGAGAAATCCTTCTCTGTTGAACTGACATGATTGCAGTTAAAATTACGTTACGTGATTATATAATATTATTCTTAGGATGCAAAAATCATGTCATGGTGGGATTATGGTTACCAGATCACGGCAATGGCGAATCGTACAATTCTAGTGGACAACAATACTTGGAATAATACACATATTTCCCGAGTTGGTCAGGTATAAGAATAATAAGATGTATTTCAATATGGGTTACAATGAGCATTATGTGTGCAAATGGTGGAAACTTCTGAAAAGGTTCTCTTTGTTGATTTCTTTTTTGTTATTGTCTATATTCAGGCCATGTCATCACCAGAGGAGAAAGCTTATGAAATTATGAGAGAACTTGATGTAGATTACGTCCTCGTTATCTTTGGAGGCCTCACTGGTTACGCTTCTGATGGTTAGTGATACTTTTTATGAAAAAATAGACTGACTTTATTTATACTGGCTAGCTCTATCAGATCTAAACTGTTCCTCCTAGAGATCCAGTAAGGATCATCTCTTATCGATACGGTGTTACTACAGGAGAAAACCTAAACTAAACTAACTTTATTTACACTGGATATAGCTCTATCAGTTCTAAACTGTTCTTCCTAGAGATCCAGTAAGGTTCATCTCTTATTGATCCAGTGTTACTACAGGAAGAAACCTAAACTAAACTAACTTTATTTATACTGGATAACTCTATCAGTTCTAAACTGTTCTTCCTAGAGGTTCAGTAAGAGTCATCTCTTATTTAATATTGATCCAGGGCGTGATAAGACTTTGTCTTTACTCCGTTTAGACATCAATAAATTCTTGTGGATGGTTCGTATTGGAGGCAGTACAGATCGTGGCTCGCACATCAAAGAAAACGACTACTACACACCAACGGGAGAGTTTAGAGTCGATAAAGAAGGGTCGCCCGTTCTCCTCAATTGTTTGATGTATAAAATGTGTTATTATCGATTTGGTTCTGTGTATACTGAGCAAGGTTCGATTTCACTTTATTGACATTCCCCCAAAGGGACTTTTCAGTGACAACAACAGTGTACAACAACAAAAGCAACAGCATCAACAACAACCTTGACAATAACAACAACAACAACAACAACAACAACAACAACAACAACAACAGCAGCAGCAGCAGCAGCTTTAAGAAGATTCCTCGTGAATTTTGTTTCCATTTTATATCTTGTACCCTTTTGTTTAGGCAAACCAACTGGCTACGATCGAGTACGAAATACTGAGATAGGAAATAAGGTAGGAAAAATAAACATGTATTTTAAGAACACCACTTACACTGAGAACCTACAGTTTGAAGTTTAGACTGGCGAGAATCTACCACAAAGGAAATGTATTTCAAGACCACTGCCTACACTGAGAACCAACAGTTTGAAGTTTAGACTAGTGAGAATCTACCACAAAGGAGGTGTATTCGAGTTGATATTTTTTGTCTTGTAGGAATTCGAGCTGGAAGTTTTGGAAGAGGCGTACACCACAGAGCACTGGCTGGTTCGCATCTACAAAGTGAAGGATTTGGAAAACCGAGGAATTTAATTCAACCAATGGTTCTGTACACCACTTTCTTAAAGTGGCTATCATGTGATCTCACTAGATGCTTTCAAATTGAATGAACTCGCGCAATTTTTAACAGTTTTTTGCACCAATTTTTAACGTAAAGCTTGTGGCAAATATAAAATATGAAACCTTGTTTTGTTTGGTCTTTGTTTTTTTATATTCCAAATGTGAAAGTCGTGGTGGTATTTCTTTGAACTACCTGAAGATTAAAAAGGCACTTTCGAGGGAAGATTTATATTTCAAGCCAGTGGCGTAGCCAGGGAGGACAAGAGGGCCCCCTTCCCCTAATGATCTTGTTTTTGTGAAAAGTTGAAATCTTGGGGGGAGGGGGCTTGTTTCTGGGATAACGGTGAAAGGATTCAGAACCCAATGGCAACATCTTGGCTTTCATGTTTGTCAAGAGAATAGGTTTCAGTGAGCTCAGCATGGGGCTCGTATGTGATGCCTGATTTGATTAAAACTGTCGAATGCAATGTTCCAGGCCTGTTCATTGTTAGATGCAATCGACGGTAGGTCGTGTAACCTGGGAACGAGAGATTCATTCACTTCCTGTTTACCAATGACGTCACGAGCGAGTGTTTGTCTGAATTTCGTGTATCAATCACAATGGCTTTCAACTTTTTTCGTGACAAGTTTTGCGTCTTTTGAACAAAAATCAACTTTAAAAGAGCTAGAAATGAATTCGTTGCAAAGAAAAGTTTGCCAATGTATGGTTATTTAAAAGCACGTCCAACAAAACGGTAGGTTAGCAGCTAGATTTCGTAAATTTCCACCTAAAGTTTGGTAGAAATTTTGCAACCATGTGGCCTTCTTGTTCGTGCTTCTGTGAAGATTTACAGAATCCCCAAATACTAGAACTGCTTTTTTGTTGGGATTTCAGCACGTTGTTTGCTTCAGATTTTACACAAACGTTTGCAGACGAACGTTAATAGATTAGGGCTGTAGTGTAATTGAACTCTGCCGCGTTCTTTATAAATAAATCCTGCTTTGTTTATCCAGGAGAATTTTCATTGAAGGCAAAAATAAAATGGGATTTTTAAAAGATCGAGGCACTCTGACTCTACCGTGCTATCAATGGGAGATCACACATATTAGTCATTAACTTTTTTTCCTTTTTGAACGAAAATAATCGTCTATTATAAAGACTATTAAAAAGTTAGGCATCAGTGCTCGAGTATTTTTAAAACGTGCCCCGAAAATAATTGATCATTTGATGTCACATAACAACCGTCCTTCACACGTTTTATTTCAAAGAGACGTCTTCTGCGAAGAGCAGCATCAGATCGCACGAAAGAGTGCTTCAAGTTTACCCGTTGATCCTCAATCAACTGGTTATTTATCCTGGGAAGGCATATCGTATTTCTTCGGTCGCTTGTGGACAAATGGTTTGTACGGTAGCACAACGTCGCCACCATCAAACAAAAAGCTTGTCGAAACACAAGGTATTTTGCACAAGGTTTATGTACTTTTGTAATTCACGTGTCTTCAAACAAGTTGGCTTGAAATTTATTTGGGTTTCAATAAGCATTATGCAGCAGAAGCTGCTCAACCTGCAATTTAATATCAGAACGAGAAAATAATGTGAATTCTTTTCATTATTATATATGTGGTAGTCTTGTATTTTATAGAGGCAAATAAATACAATTGAGAGATAATTGTCAACATTTCTGACTGAAATTGACCACGATTTGCTATACGTGCTAATCTTTGAAGGCATGGAAGTATTGGCTTCAATATTGCAGGAAAACAAATCAAGGGTTTATTGTGTTGTTGACATGCATGGCGTCATTGCCATGTGTGACTGGGGTCCTAAGGCTATATGGGCAGTCACTGAAAAGTATACACTAAAATAATTTGTTGACCATTTAATTGGCAATGTGCCCAATGCAGCCTACTTTATTATTGTACTCTGTCTAATGCCAGACGATTTTACTGGTCAAAGGAAGAGTGTTGCCACTCAATAGTTTAAAGTTCATGTCGAACTCTAAAGGTATGTTTACATGCTGTGACTTGTTGTGTACAATTTGTATTCTAGCATATGCAATTCATAACCACACATAACTTGGTCATACAGTATTTCAAATTTATTTCGCCATAAACTAAATGGAGAGGAATTGTGGCGTCAGCAGTAATTTTCATACGCCAGAAATAAGAATCGTAGACAACAAATCACAGTGTGTTAACGTACCTTACTGCCCTATTGCTTTTAATTTATTTACAAGATTGAGGGATCATAATAAATAGTTTCTTGCTTACATTATTGGCTTATTGTTGTTGCAAAGCAGTTATTGATATTGTATATTAAAATATTGTAATGTTAAGGCTTAATATCAATGACACAACTATGACATCAATTTCTGTAGTCTGCTATTTAGATATAATTCATAGTTGGACTCTGCTATAGAATCTTGGGTTTCCCAGAGAACATCTGCACCTCCACGGAAATTGGAAGTTAACCCCCCCCCCCTACCCCCTTTGGATGCCCTGTAGCACATTTTACTATGATCAGAAGTACATTCTCCCCCCCCCCTCCGGATGACAGAAATTTCCTTTGTATGTGGTGTGTACTGTAAATCTTTTCTGGAATGACCCAACCTCTGGTATAGACACCTCCCCATTTTGTGCTAAAAAAACATAATTTAAGCTGCATGATAGTGCTTACTAAAAATAGTGGTCTTGTAATAGCCAAATTCACATCAGAGATAGCAACAGAGAAGTTTTTCGTCTCAACTTTTCTGTGAAGTTAGACAGGAATCTCGCCTAAAAAGAACTTCATCATAAATTTGCATTCAGACGAACCGTGTAAAGGGGAAACTGTATCTAGAATTATCAAGATAAACATGAGACATTATAGGCCTAAAAATAATACCTGTGGTTCCGGTTCCTGACCGACCCTATTTTTTTCTGCCGACCCTATTATTTTTTCAATGCTGTAGACCATGCGACCCTATTTTCTCTGAGTGGTTGCGGGCTACTCATACAGCGTGCCAAAATGGCATCTGTTGTCAGACTATTTATTGAACCAAATTGCCTAAATTCGTCCATAGGAAATACACATCTCTAGTTAATATTGATGTCGGGACTCTACTGTAAATCGCCCAGCAAAAAAAAAAACGCAAAAACCATGAAAAAATATTTTTAAAAAATTTATTTCTTACCTACTGACCCTAATTTTTCACGATATGAAACAGGAACCACAGGTATTTTTTTTAGGCCTTATGTATAAAACCTACATAAAATTTATATTCAGACAGGTTTTAATAGGCGAGTTTCCCATCCAAGATGAGTTTTCCATCTCGAATGTGAATTTGGCTAATCTTCAATTTTCATTATAGTTGATTCAGACTTGATCAAAGAACAGAAAAGGAAGGATCTTCTGGGTCTTCTTGGAGCAATGGAGAACACTATGGAATATACAGTTAGTGTATATTATATAGTAGCATTTTCATCTCTATGCCCACTCTGGGTTCAAATTCTCAACTTTGCCACAGAATGCTTCCATTTTGGCTCTATCAAACGCCACATATTTTCTCAGGGCACTCCGACTTCCTCTACCTTAAAGCCTGCCGCACACAAGAAAAACTTGTGTGAAGAAACTATGGGTTCTCATTGGCTAGTTAATTCAAGCAGCTCAGCACTTAAGCTCGCAACATCCACAGGTGGTGAGATTTTTCCTTGCAAGGTGAAAAATGTCATGAAACACAATTGATATTTTCCTCAAAGCCTCAAGAGGTTTAGTAAATCATCACAAAAACTATCTGCACACGAGCGAAACATGCCCACTGCTACCCGCCATGCGAGGCAGTTAGCTGAGCAAGTTTCTCTCATGTGCAACAGGCTTATTTTAACACAAATTTGTTCAAAAGCATTCGTAGTTTTAGTTCTCATCTAGTCTCTTTCTTGTCATTTGAAACTTCCAGGTGACGGCGTACGACACTCTGCCAAAAATTGCTTTGAAGTTTGATGCAACTCCGTCTCAATTGAGCAGATTGAACAAACTGGCAATAAGAACGCTGTATCCCGGTCAGGTAATAAGCCTTTTAATATTACAAGCATCAATGTTATTCTTACATTTACTGATGAGATGGTTTGTAAGCTCAGTGGACATGTCATTATTTCTCAGTTTAATTTCAAATGTGGGGGTCAATGTAGATATTAGGCAGCTAAAGCAAACAATGTCAATGTTTTTGTCAAAACGGATCTCAGATTGCCGAGGGGGGGACAGGAGTAAAAACTGTGTATCAGTTTGTGGTAATCTTCAACAAATATGACAAGACATACGATTTTTAAAGGTTTTTGCTTTCTTACAATATGATTGTAAAATGTTGCCAAAATTAGTTATACCAAATTTCAGGTAACAAATATGTTCACTGTTTTGCACTTAATATTGCTGGTTTGAAACATAATTATACTAACCTAATTATTGTAAAAACATTACAATAAGAATATTTCTGTAAGAAATTCTAGCTTAAATAAGTACCTGCTTACAAAGTGGCACCTGTTTTATGTATGAATAATTAATATCCTTAAAAAGTCTGCCATCACGCTATATATAATAACAAATACAATACTTTTGTAGAACATTATGAAACGACATTGTATATACATAAGTACTGAATATATGGGCTTATAATGGCTATAATAAGCAACCTGGAATTTTAATACCACATTGTTTGTTGTAATGACACGGGGCTTGCACAATGTCAGAAGAAAAGTCGGTTAAAAAGAAGTATGGCTTTGATTACATCTATTCCTGTTTGACGTTGGGCGAATGCTTCAATGTAAATAATTTTACATTTTATAACAAATGCTTTACTCTTATGGTTCGAGACTATAGAGATACGTAACTATAGTTTTAATTACCGGTATTATATGTTTATCAGCATATGTAAATTTAGTGAAAAATTGGTGTACAGCAGGCAAGACTGCATTTGCAATACTGTGTAAACACATGCCCGTTGTGTTGTGTTGTTTCCGCACAAGAAGCAATTTATCTACTAAGTTATTATTTGTGAATTTTACAAGGTTTGTAGTATTCTGGTAAATTATATAGAATTTGTTTCAAGTTTAAGTTGAATAAATAAGCAAATTTTGGCTATGTCTAAAAGTTTTGTGACTGTAGCTTTAATATTCATGCAAAAGCTACTCCAAGGCCTGTTTTTCACTTCAACTGTGTATGTGTGAAACCTTTCTTTGTTTCTTGAGTACTAGGGTCCATTTAACGAATGATTTTGACACAAAATGTTTTAAAACATTTTGTAGTATATGTATATGCAAAACAGCTTGTCAATTAAATGAATAGCTTCTTAATGGCATGAGCAATAAAGTATCAGATGCAGTTTAATGGGTATGAGAAATGGTCAAAATGAACCCATTGAGTGGCAGCACTCTCGCCTTGATGAGTAAAATTGTCTGGCATTAGACAGAGTAAAATAATAAGATAGGAAGCAAAGGGTTAACATATTAAACTGGGAAACTCCACAATGGCCCAATATTTGTTGTTTTCCTGTAACTCCAAATTTTCTACTCCATTTACTGAACCTATTTACCCTCATCTCAATATTTTACATTTTCAGGTGCTGCGAGTACCATGTTCCAAACCCGCAGAACCTTGTGCAGAATGTTCTGAGGCTGCTAAAGTACAGACTGGTGCTCCTCAGGTAGATATGCTTTGCTATTCAACTGATAGAGCTATCCAATATAAATAAAGTTGGTTTAGTTTAGGTTTCCTCCTGTAGTAACACTGGATCAATAAGAGATGATCCTTACTGGACCTCTAGATAGGAAGAACAGTTTAGAACTGATAGAGCTATCCAGTATAAATAAAGTTAGTTTAGTTTAGGTTTCCTTCTGTAGTAACACTGGGTCAATAAAAGATGATCCTTACTGGACCTCTAGGAAGAACAGTTTAGAACTGGTAGAGCTATATCTAGTATAAATAAAGTTAGTTTAGTTTAGGTTTCCTCCTGTAGTAACACTGCATGGATCAATAAGAGATGATTCTTACTGCACCTCTAGGAAGAACAGTTTAGAACTGATAGAGCTATCCAGTATAAATAAAGTTAGTTTAGTTTAGGTTTCCACTTGTAGTAACACTGGATCAATAAGAGATAATCCTTACTGGACCTCTAGGAAGAACAGTTTAGAACTGATAGAGCTATCCAGTATAAATAAAGTTAGTTTAGTTTAGGTTTCCACTTGTAGTAACACTGGATCAATAAGAGATGATCCTTACTGGACCTCTAGGAAGAACAGTTTAGAACTGATAGAGCTATCCAGTATAAATAAAGTTAGTTTAGTTTAGGTTTCCTCCCGTAGTAACACTGGATCAATAAGAGATGATCCTTACCGGACCTCTAGGAAGAACAGTTTAGAACTGATAGAGCTATCCAGTATAAATAAAGTTAGTTTAGTTTAGGTTTCCTCCTGTAGTAACACTGGATCAATAAGAGATGATCCTTACCGGACCTCTAGGAAGAACAGTTTAGAACTGATAGAACTATCCAGTATAAATAAAGTTAGTTTAGTTTAGATTTCCTCCTGTAGTAACACTGGATCAATAAGAGATGACTCTTACTGGACCTCTAGGAAGAACAGTTTAGAACTGTTAGAGCTATCCAGTATAAATAAAGTTAGTTTAGTTTAGGTTTCCACTTGTAGTAACACTGGATCAATAAGAGATGATCCTTACTGGACCTCTCCCAGAATAGATAGTCGTGTTTTTATTGGAAATTGGCCCAATTGGCATTCCAACAGAAATATAAATCCAAATTCTAATTGGCATTCCAAATGTTAAATTTTATTTGCAGTCCATGACAATGGATCAGCGCGGTGATGAGATGGGTAAAATTCCTGTTGCCAAGAGAGTTTCATTTGACGATATTGATGAGGATGTATTGGAAACTTTTATAAAAGTTAAGTCAAAATACATCACAGACGGGCAGGTGAGATGGATAATAAAAATCTTGTTTTAAACTCCTCACATTTTGTAAATTTTAAATAAAAATACATGACTGATAGATGTGATATGAGGACATAGACCTTCGTTAATCTGATAGAGGTCCCAATTTGAGAAGGTGCTAAAAATTTAACTTGGGAGGTTTTATTCGAGTTAATGTAGGACCGTGAAATGCAGATATAAACTCAGCTAGGTCCTGATAAAAACACCAGAAAACTGTAGATGCACAGCAGGGCTTGAATTTTATCGCGGCAATTGCCGTAGAGGGAAAACAAAATGCCGTGGATCATTGCGGCGACGACGGCAATTTTTTGCCGTACTGAGTGCAATTTTTATACTATTCACTGTGCATTACTACTTTGATACAGTACTTGAATTCAGATGTTGATCAAATCATGCGTAAATCACTATTTTAGTCTCAGTTTTCTTTGAAAAAAAAAAACACTAAAGAAATACGTAGACATGTTTCTAGCTTGTCAACAATCCAAAGTAACAATAAATTACAAATTATTACAGTAATTTGAAAAATGCTGTGGAAACTGTCAAAATTGCCGTGGACAGCTGTTACGTTCTACGGCAATTTTTAATGCCATTGCCGTCGACTGATTTCAGGGAAATTCGAGGCCTGATGGAGAGGGGTTCAACTGCCTGAAAAACACAAGTAAAACTTGGACATTTCGAGCGAATGCCCTTCATTGGGAAGTTAGCAAAATGCAGTACTGTATCTACTGTTCGTAAAGATTCTGCAAAATCTCTCAGCAGAAGCTCTGTCCTAACAACTTAAGCCCTGGGCAAACTAGGAAACATTGTTGCGGAAACATTGTTTCCTGCCAATGTTTCGCCATGTTTCCCAGAGTGGGCAAACACTAGGAAACATTAGTGAGAAACATAGGGAAACATATGTTTCTGAATTTGCTAGGAAACATTTTGCTTCTTGGGAAGCAAATTTTGTTTCCGCAACAATGCTTCCACGGGTGGGCAAACATGGAAACATTTGAGGAAACATCACGAATCGCAAATGTTTCCGCAACAATGTTTCCTAGTTTGCCCAGGGCTTTAACACCTTCTCAGAATACCATGTTTGTTTCTAGGGTGTGGTCAAAGGTTTTCTCTTGATCACTCCACATGCCATGATATTTCATCCTGATGTCTCTGAGATCTTGGTTGTTGATCGAGGCAGTGAATATTACAAAGTTCATTTTAAGATGAAGAGTGTTTGTTCTGCTGGCATGTTTGATGATATTGCTTCAATGGTCGTTCATGAGGCACTGCCGCCTGGACAGTGAGTAACCTAACTAGCTGAACATAACCTAAACACACTTTACTGGATAAGCTCTATCTGTTCTAAACTGTTCTCCTTAGAGGACCGGACTAAGAGTCATCTCGTATTGATCCAGTGTTACTACAGGAGGAAACCTAAACTAAACTAACTTTATTTATACTGGATAGCTCTATCTGTTCTAAACTGTTCTTCCTAGAAGTCTAGTAAGGATCATCTCTTATTGATCCAGTGTTACTACAGGAGGAAACCTAAACTAAACTAACTTTATTTATACTGGATATAGCTCTATCTGTTCTAAACTGTTCTTCCTAGAGGTCCAGTAAGGATAATCTCTTATTGATCCAGTGTTACTACAGGAGGAAAGCTAAACTAAAATAACTTTATTTATACTGGATAACTCTATCTGTTCTAAACTGTTCTTCCTAGAGGTCCAGTAAGGATCATCTCTTATTGATCCAGTGTTACTACAGGAGGAAACCTAAACTAAACTAACTTTATTTATACTGGATAGCTCTATCTGTTCTAAACTGTTCTTCCTAGAGGTCTAGTACGTTTGTTTTGTTTTTTGTTTAACGTTTGACTGTTTGTCCTTATAGCTTTTTTCTAGACAAACCCCTCATGCAATGGCTGGGTGATCCAAGTACAAAACCACTGGAGGAAATAAAAGAGGAAGATAGTAGCAGCACTTTGCATCTTTCAACGGATCCATCAATATCCCAAGAACAATCCATGGAATCTCTCAGTGAGACTACGGAAAGTCTTCAAGAGAGGGCACCTGCATGTACGCTTGATACTGTAGCTATGGATATTCCTAGTGGGAATTTGAAAGAAACAGATACACTGCAGACCTCAGCACAAGGAAGTAGCTTAGCAGTGGATACTACAAATGGTGTCTTAAAAGATATATCACAAGCAGGGGAACAAGACTTAGAAAACAAGGAATTACAGAGTTCGGCAGAAGAAATAAACGTAGAGCATGATTTACAAGATAAATCTGTTGCATCGAGCAATGAGATAGATTTAAGTTTAACAACTGACTCCCTAGAACAAGATTTAGAAAATTCAGAACACAAAAGTTTAAATGAAATGTCTATAGAGCCTGAAAGTGCAACGGAAAATTCTGTTGAAATGTGCTCTGATCAGGCTGAGAAAAATTCAGTAGAGACTTCGAATGATCCTATATCGTCTGAGGTAATTTGCAATGATGATGTTATTTTATCATCAAGCCAGTGCTCATGTTTAACAGACAATGTTGCCATTCCTGACGAGAATGAGCAATTGACCAACACCGATCCTTCCCTGCAAATGTACAGTACGCCAAAATTGGCACCGTATCAGGATGTTGGGGGTGAACATGTGATAGAAATGGATAAGGACGATTATAGAGAAGGGATTAGTAGGGATAGTGGTATACACGAGAGTGAAGATGATGTACACGAGGACACCGATGATCAGAGTTGGATTGATCGGCATGATGGTGGTGAGTTTCGCGCTCAACGTTTCTTGGTCAAATTCTATTTTCTCGTGCTCAAGTTTTGTTTTTGCGTGCTCAAGTTTTGTTTTTGCGTGCTCAAGTTTTATTTTTGCGTGCTAAAGTTCTCTTTGCGTGCTCAAATTTTCTTTTTGCTTGTTCGAGTTTGTTGTAGCGTGTGCAAATTTAGCTCATTCGTGTTCAGGCTTTCTAAATACGTGTTGATAACGTTAAAACAACGTTTTTATTTAGCATTGTCAGGGAAGAACATTGTACCAAGACCATCCGCACATTATGAAGACATGCCGAAATATTTGTGCGTGAGAATCAAGAAATCGTGTTGGCGCGAATATCGACCTACGTGTTGTCGTTATGCACACGAAGCTATTCAACAAGCTACTGACGAGAGAAGAGAATTTTGGTTTTCCATTCCTAGTGATAGGTACGATTTGAACTAAACTAACTTTATACTGGATAGCCCTATCAGCTCTAAACTGCTCTTTCTAGCGATCCGGAGGAAACCAAAATTAAACTAACTTTATTTATACTGAATAGCTTTATCAGTTTTAAAATGGGTCCAGTAAGGGTAATCTCTCATTGATCCAGTGTTACTACAGGAGGAAACCTAAGCTGACTTTATTTATACTGGATAACTATCAGTTCTAGCCATTTCTTATTGGTCCAGTGTTACTACAGAAGGAATTTGGAGTAGAGTCAAACTGGAAGCACTCTGAGGTGAAATTATAATGAGACAACTGCATATTGCCAGAAATCAAACCCCAGTCACCGAGACGAAAGATGCATGTACTGATCATTGTGTGTTTTATCCAGGTTGTTGGAAGTTTATGGTTTCTTTCTCGAGTGGTGTCCGGCAATTCACGAGGGTGACACGGATGATGACGACAAATCTGAAGACGAATTCGTAGATTCACTGGATAGTGACTACAGTGTGATTACGATGCCGAAAGAAAATGAAGAGGTAGAGCAAAGTTTGTTTTCTTAAAAATGTAGACTTCGGGTAGTTAGATTCCCCAATTAATTTCTTGAATATTGTTAAAGTCTGGCGGCATAGTCGTTAGTGTATGTGCTTCTCCCGTTGTAACAAACCTGCAGCAGACTTGTAGCAATGCTGTTCCAACAACTTGTCAACAGGATGTGTTCGCACTGCTTGTTCCCAGCTTGTTGACAACTTGCTGCAAGGTTGAGCTCAACAGACTTGTTACAAGTTGTTCCAACAACTTGTTATCGTCCTGCAATTCAACAATTTGTCAACAAGTTGTGAGTGACAACCTTGTAGCAACTTGATAAAATAACAGCATTGTTACAACTTGTTGACAAGCTTGCTACAAGCCTGTTGCGAACACATCTTGTTGACAAGCTTGCTACAAGCCTGTTGCGAACACATCTTGTTGACAAGTTGTGAGATTTTTATGTGTGTATATGCTAATGACATTTATATTTCCTTTTCAGTCATTTGAACTTGTCGATAATTTCTTCTCTAGCAGTCCTGGGAAAGAGGTAAGTCAGGCAAGGACAATGAGGTGACGAGAAAGCGGAGAGAGTAGTCTATACCATCAGACTACCTCACGCACGAACGAAACACAAATTTCACGCATCTTTTTTAGAACGTGCAGAATAATCGTCGTGATAGAAAGAGAAGTCGCGGTCGTGAGAAAAAGAAGAAAAAGAAATCTGAAGCAAAAGAACCGGAACGAAGAACCACGTTAGTAGGATACGTTCTAGCAGACGTTCAACCACAGAATGTCGAAAAAAAGTGTAACCGCTACCACGCCACAGAATAAGAAGCTATAGCAGAAGCGTAACTCTAGTCGTTTCCCTTATTGTTTTACGTCCACGAAAATTTTAACTCGCTCACGCCATTCTGGCTAGTACAACAGGAAGTTTTTATCAGGTTTTGCTAGGTACAAAGTGCCGGTTGTACTAGCCAGGATGGCGTGATTGATGACGAATCGCTTGTAAAAACGCGGACAAATACTTGCTCGAGTTACGCTTCTGCTATACCTTCCTATTCTGTGGCCACGCCATGATTCGTCATCAAAATGCTGACGCCATGGTCGTAGCCAATGCGCTTATAAGAGGCATTCCCCCTGGGCGTCCGCCATTTTGAATATTATCAGGGGGTGAATGCCTCTCACAAGTGCACTGGCTAAGACCAGACCATGGCGTCAGCATTTTGATTACGGTTACGCCAAAATGACAGGAAAAACCAAGAAGTCGAGCTTCGGTATAGTCTCTATTCTGTGGTTCAACTCCGCTTTCTACTTTGTTTTTACTTTGTTAAGCAAATTCCGGTTGCGTCTCCTAAGAGATATCGCAGGAGAAGTAAAGTAGATTCAATGATATGTAGTAATTATCCTTACTAAAATTTAGCTGTTATATTTCAGTTCTTGGAGCGTGTGTTCGATGGAAGAACCTATAATGCCTGAGGTCGTTGGCAAATCAGAAATTCTGACAGACGCGCATATTTTAGAGGTATGTTGAATGATTCCTGCAATATCCAGTTGGTTGTCTGATAATAATTTCACCTCAGTCACATGTGAGAAGATTGCTTCCAGTTTGACTCTACCAAACACAACAGGTTTTCTCCAAGTACTCTCGTTTCCTCCTGTAGTAACACTGGATCAATAAGAGAAGACCCTTACTGGACCTCTAGGGAGAACAGTTTAGAACTGATAGAGCTATCCAGTATAAATAAAGTTAGTTTAGTTTAGGTTTCCTCCTGTAGTAACACTGGATCAATAAGAGATGATCCTTACTGGACCTCTAGGAAAACAGTTTAGAACTGATAGAGCTATCCAGTATAAACAAAGTTAGTTTAAGGTTTCCTCCTGTAGTAACACTGGATCAATAAGAGATGACTCTTACTGCACCTCTAGGAACAACAGTTTAGAACCGATAGAACTATCCAGTAGAAATAAAGTTAGTTTAGTTTAGGTTTCCTCCTGTAGTAGCACTGGATCAATAAGAGATGATCCTTACTGGACCTCTAGGAAGAACAGTTTAGAACTGATAGAGCTATCCAGTATAAATAAAGTTAGGTTAGTTTAGGTTTCCTCCTGTAGTAACACTGGATCAATAAGAGATGATCCTTACTGGACCTTTAGGAAGAACAGTTTAGAACTGATAGAGCTATCCAGTATAAATAAAGTTAATTTAGTTTAGGTTTCCTCCTGTAGTAACACTGGATCAATAAGAGATGATCTTTACTGGACCTCTATGAAGAACAGTTTAGAACTGATAGAGCTATCCAGTATAAATAAAGTTAATTTAGTTTAGGTTTCTTCCTGTAGTAACACTGGATCAATAAGAGATGATCCTTACTGGACCTCTAGGAAGAACAGTTTAGAACTGATAGAGCCATCCAGTATAAATAACGTTAGTTTAGTTTAGGTTTCCTACTGTAGTAACACTGGATCAATAAGAGATGATCCTTACTGGACCTCTAGGAAGAACAGTTTAGAACTGATAGAGCCATCCAGTATAAATAAAGTTAGTTTAGTTTAGGTTTCCTCCTGTAGTAACACTGATCAATAAGAGATGATCCTTACTG